GTGATTTCTACTTAAGGGTAGGTTACAGCACTGTAGTATTTCACTTCATAGGATGAAATACAATCTTTTGAGCTTTTTAGTTGTTGAAGATACTGACAGCCATCACAAAAACAGTGTCCTTGTAAAAGTAATTTTACTCTGTTTTGTCACTCTCTGTACTGCTATTAGACTATAATACAAAGATTATTTTTCCCCTCTGCTGGTATAGCAAAAGTAGGAGTGTATTTGCATGTTCCTTGACAATTTTAGATTATAAATCATCCCAGCTGTTAGTCATTAGATGCAATTTTTAAGTCTAGTTTTTTCTGTATATTCCAAGGATTTCCATTTCTTTCTGAAGTGTATAAACTTCAACTGGTATCACAGTTTATTATAAAGAACATATTAATGGGATAAGAGAGCTTTCCTTCAAACTTGCAACAGTTACTCTGTGGTCTGATCATTAGATAATGCTAGCACAGTAAATAATAGTCTTTAAAAAAGTACCCTAAACTCTGTTTCACTTTTTCTGCTTGCTGAGTTTTCTTACCACTGAAATACTGTAGTTTAGAAAGAAAATTAAAATTCTGAAATCACCTGAGAAGCGTTTCAGATCCAATCTTGCTAGGTATGCATTGGAAGATACCCGGTTAAAATGCATTTCTAAGTAAAACAAAATGGTACAGCAGATAAAAAGTCATTGTGGATAAATATATAGTAATGCTTATATGAAACACATTAAATTATGGGCTCTGAGCAGCCTATTGCTGCTCTAGTGCAAGCCTCTGTGGTCATGACAAATAACTGCAAGAAAGCATCAGCTTTGTCAAAAAAAAAGGCAAATCAAGCATTAGAAGCTATTAGGAAAATAACAGAGAACAAACCAGTAAACATCATTGCACCATTGTATAAATCTATTATTTTTCCGCATCTGGAACTCTGTGCAATGATCTATTAGAACTGGAAAAGGGTCATGAAAAGGGCATTAATCACCCATGATATGGAGTAATATCTCTATGAAGAAGACTGGCTAGGGCTGTGTTTGTTCTTGCCTGGGAGAGGACTTAATGGAGAAATGATAAAGTTGTATGGAAGAACTAGGGGCTGTTGAGCTGGGAGTCAGAATCAAAAGGAGGTTCTTCATGCAGCAGTAGCGGATCTGCTGAGGTTCCAGATGACTTTGTGGGTGCAAGAAGTTTACATTAATTCAAGGGGTGTACTGAGCATGTGCATGTATGTGAGACTGGAGGTTACTGATGAGAAAATAACATGTTGTCCTTATGAAATACCCGGAGTGGGAAATAGTTGGTGAGCGGGAAAGAACTGAGAAAGAAGTGTTACGCTGGCTTGTCCCCTTCAGACACTTTTTGGAATATATTAATGGTTCTTTAGCATCTGCATCTGCTACCGCTTGAGATCTAGATGGTGTCTTGATCTGAACTGGTATAGTTGTTCTTATGTTTTTAATTATAAATAGCTGACTAGTGCTGTCCTAAAACAATATCAAGGTATTTCCTAAGAGGTGCTTTTCTTTTTATTTATTTTTTTTTTTCTCATGGAAAATAGAGTATGTTGTGATTGCAGAGGCACAAACCAGAAGGGCAAAGGATCAGGCAGTGCAAAGAACAACCTGTCATCCTTTCTCTCAGTATTCTCTAAACTGAAATTGCTGGGGAAATGTGGCAGATGGGGTTCCAGGTGCCACAGAGCCAACGCTCCCTCTATACTAGCTAGGTTTTCCCCAGTCAGACCTTTGCTCAACACTTGTCTGTTGTTTCCTCTTCCCCATTCATCTCCTAGTAACTCCTCTGTAATCCCCTCTACCCCTGTGTGGGTTTGCCTAATTACATACACACAAATGTATCAGGAGATAAGACATCCTAATGTTCCAGAGGTTTCTGTATGCAGAGCATTTGTAGTTGTTTAATGAAAGAGGAATTAACTAGAGGACAAAAGATATTCTAAAAGAGGTAAGTGCTGTTTTATTACATCCTGTTCCAGCTTTGCAGTCAAAGATCAAATTTTCTGTTTTCCCAGGTGTCAGGCTGCCACCTGCGTATGCACAAGAGTAGATTTAAATTCACTGTTTGGAAGCATTTACATTCTTCCCCCTCTCCCCAGCCAGTCACTTCTCCATCCGTATATTATCTGTATTATAAGCAAAGTTTGATTTCTTTCTTCTGGCCAATTAATTCTGCCTCTGTACTTCCAGTAAAGTATTACTCTGTATTCTGCCTGACGGCAAATGTTACATACATATCCATACAGAATTAAGAGCAAAAAAGCAGTTGAGAAGCAAAAGCTTTGGGGGGTAGGGGCGTGGGGGGAAGAGACACTCAAATCATGAAGCGCAGTCTGCTTCTACAAGCAGTTTCATAAAAGGCAAGATCATGAAGCCTGACCTGCATAAAATAGGCTGTGACCACCACCAAGGAATTTTTGCTATAAACACACATCTTCTGATTTAACAGAGCTCATCTTCTTAAAAGACAATGATCTAGTTGTGATTTAAACACCAAGGTCTAGACACTTGATATCTTGTCTGAAAATACCTTGCTCCATCTTTATATGTAATTTAATGGTAAGCTTTTGTTGGTTAAACAAGAGCAGAGCTCTGTAGCCAGGCTGTCCCACTCATCTGGAATGAGGAGAGGTGGTGTCTTGCTTAGATTCCCTTCTCTGCCAGGTGTTGTCCCACTGTCAGCCCAGTCTGACCCAGGTAGCCCAGGGTTAAGAGGTTAACAGGAACAAAGTGGCTGCACTGGGCTATCTGGATCAGTGTCTGAAGAGAGGCACCTTCCACCAAACCTCAAGCGTATTATGGCTCTTCCTTCAAAGGGAGGATCAGAAAACCAAAGCCTCTGCTCACCAGCTGAGTCTGACTTCCCCTTCAATCTCTAAAGCCTTCCTTTCAGCTGAAAGCAGATTTTTATCTCTGTCTCATCAAGTTGCTTATGGGGCGCAGCTGCCTGCCAGTTTGCCGGCTTCTTAACCCTCTCTTCCTCAAAACCCCTTCAGACAGTTTCCTAACCCCATGTGGCAAATAATTTAAGTGCAGTCATCAGAATACGACATCTCTTGTAGTGGTCTTACCAAGTGAGCAATTTTCTCTCCTATTTTATATCAAAACACAGTTTATTCCTCCTAGCCACTGCTGTCACAGCAAGAACTAATACTGAACAGGTAACACCCTGTATGATACAGAGTGCAGTATCATTCTTGGGTTTAGATGTATATAACACTTTGGTCACATTAAAATTAAAATGCTTTGTTTGAGGCTCTTTTCATTAAGTGGTATAGATCACCATGCATATATTACCTACTGTTATTATTTGTGACTCCAATAACCCTCGTCACATCTACAAAGTTTTCCGGAAGTTATTTTGTATTTCCATTACAATAGGATGACTTAGGGCTTGCTTTCTGCTGACCCTTGTAAGAAATTTCCAAGACACTCTTTATTAAACAGGGCAGTATACTGCATGCTGGTGAGATTCTTCAGCTGGCTAACCTACAGTCTCTTCCACATTTTACATTACAGCACTTTTTTCTCCCTGAGGAATATTACTGTAGTTTCCGACTGAAGTATAAAACCATTTCTTACTGTTTGTGTAGTGACTGGGCTGTTGTAACCATATTTTGCTGCTTTTCAAGAGATGGTCTTTCTGTAATTGTTTTGTGGGAAGCCATCAATAGCTTTTCCAAGCTGGTGAACCAAGAATTGGGGTTTTAAGAGAACATTGGGTTTCTTTGCATATAGTTCCTTTGAAACCATTGAGACAGAATTTACTTCAAATGCTTTTTATATACCCTCATGTGTAAACTAGATGCCTGTTTGGGTTTAATGCCTGAAGGAAAAGTGAAACTTTTTATATTTGATTAGTGTCTCCAGATGTCACAGTACCTTAAAATACTGAATCGTTGTAGGACCTCATCCTAAAATTCAGTTACCCAACCACCTGTTGAGCACATTTTGTGAGCGTTTTTTAATTTCCGAGACAGAGCTTCCAGTGAATGGACGATGTAATGCCATGCAGCATAACGCAGCCAGTATTGCTCCATTACATCAAAGGTGTTTTGCCATAACACGGTACTGTAGAAACTATTTTTTGTCCTGTGTGACCTGAACGCATAGCAAGCATGTAGGGGAAGCAAACTGACAAAATTAAGAATCTAAGGTTTATTATTAAGGATATTTATTACACAGGGTTCTACAATTATTTTATTGCTACATGACCTTGCAGAACAAAGTTAAGTTCCCAGTTAGGGCTTGCCTAACGTAGCCAAAGCAATCCAACCCAAACTATGCTAGATTGAGAAACTAACTGGAATTCATATTCTTGTTGAGCGAGGGAGATTTTGGATAAGTAACTAACTCCATCCTTTCTAGATCAGCGCCGTGTTGCAGTCCCTCTGTAATGGTCAGTCCCGTTACCGAGGGCTGCCCGTCCTCGGCCGTGCGGATGCAGCAACTCATGCTTTTAGAAAACATTCCCATCTCCCGGGTAACTGCAGCTACCGGCAGCGTTTGCTGCGCGGGGGAGAAGGCGAGGGTTCCTGCTAATGCCAAATGCTCTGCAGGAAAGTTCGTACCCTCCTGCGAACAGTATTTCAGTCATTTAATTGAGTAGCAGGCAACTATGTGTTTACACTCCCCCTGCACGCGCTGTAGATAGGTTAACAACGAAGGGCTTTCTGAACAGCATCGTCCCTCATTTTTCTCTACTCTTCTGCACTAGCGAGGTTCCGCTGCCTCGGGCAGGGCGGGTGGGACTCCCGCGCCAGACGGGGCACGGCCGCCCCCCGCGCCCCGGCCGCCATCTTGCGCCCCCGCTGCGCCCTCCCGCCGCCGGAGAGGCGAGAGGCGGCCCCGGCTGCCCCCGCCGCCCCGGGCCGGGCCCGCTGCCGCCTGCCCGCCCGCCCGCCCGCAGAGGGGGAGGCGGCCGCGGCCGCGGGGCAATGCCGCCCGGAGGTGTGTCCCGCCGTAGGCGCGGCTCTCCCGCAGGTACTAATCACCGTCCTGCCCCGGCTCCTCGCTGCAGTTGCCGTCCCGCAGCCGGTAGCCCCTGAGCGCCGCGCGGCTCCGCGGCCGGGATGTTGGGGGGCCAGCAGCAGCTGCAGCCCCTCACGCTGCCCCCGCATCTCCAGCAGCAGCAGCAGCACCATTACTACCGGCGCCAGCAGCACTACAGCACGCTCCCCGCCGGCCGGCGGTCCCTGCCCTGCCCAGAGCCGCGGCCGCTGCCCTGCCGGGAGCCGGAGCCGCTGCCCCGGCCGCTGCCCTGCCCGGAGCCCCCGCCGCCGCCGCGGCCACCGCCGTCCCGGGAGCCGCCGCCCTGCCCCGAGCCGCCGCGGCCGCTGCCCTGCTTCGAGCCCGCGCCGCAGCAGCAGGAAGGCGGCGCGGCGTACGACCGGGTGCGGACCTACGGCCCGGGCTGCCGGCGGGTGAGCGCGTCCTGCTCCTCCCGGGCGGCCTCGCCGCTGGAGTGCTCGCACGGCTACCAGCAGGTCATCTCCGGCTGCGACCCACCGCAACAGGTACGGCGGGCGCCGCCGGCGCTCCTGCCCGCGCTGAGGCGGCGTCCAAGTCAAAAGCCGCCCTGGGGCCAATGGCGGCGCCGGGCCGTGGGCCGGACGCCCTTGTGCCGCCGCGCTGCGGGTCTGTCTCCCCGGGCTGCTGCCCGGCGAAGGGGGTCGGGTCGGGCCGCGGGGCGAGCGAGACCGGGCGGTGCAGAGAGCCTGGGTGGGCCCGGCCCAGTCCTTGGCCATCCGCCTCGCCTGCGCCCGCGGGTTCTCCATCGAAAAACTCCTTTTACCGCAGGTTGAGCGGAGAAACGCGTTCGTGCCCTCGACGGCATTTCAAAACGCTCGGCCCTGCCGCAAAACACCCGTCTGGGGAAAACCACGGCTCGTCGGCTGTGGCGGGGGGCGCCGGCCTGAGCCGCCCGCCGCCGCCCTGAGGAGCCCGGCCCAGCCCGGCCTCTCCCTGCGGCCGCCGGCAGCGGAACGGGCCGTCAGCGGACCACGCTGGGGCTGCTCCCTCGGCCGCGGGTGCGCCCCGGACCCGTCGGTTATTGAATGTGCTAACGGTGGTGGCCGGGCTGTGAGGCGGCGGCGGCCCTCGCTGCGGGGGCCGGGCGGGGCGGCGCGGGCCGGAGCTCGGCGCTGGGGCGGGCGGCTGGCGGCATCGCTGCCGGCTCTGCCGCGGCGGGAGAGCTTCGTGCCTCGGTACCCCGCTTTCATCTAGAACTCCTAAAACTAACTTCCATTTAAACTGCTCCTTTTCGTTCGAGTTTGAATGGATCGGCCAATCCCATGTTTGTTTCCTGTTTGGCAAGTCCAGTTTGTTTTGTGGGTGTTTTGGTTTTTTTTTTTTAAAAAAAACAAAACAAAACAAAACTTGAACTTCCAAATACCTTATTCTGTTGCAGTATTTCTGCCCGTTTCGGCAGTGCAAGGCTGGCAGTGCGGCCGGAGCAGGAGCCCCGGTTCCGCCGTGGGGGGTACGCAGGAACGCTTCTGCTTCCTTGGTGCTCCCTGTGTGAATGGAACACAGGGTGCCTGTGCCTCATCGCTCTGCTTGAATCGACGAGGCGAATAATGCGTGCGACTAAGCGGGTAGGGAAGTAATGGAGTTCATTTAGCTTTGCTTTAAAAGTCTTCACCATGTAGTTTAGCAGGTTTGCTGCTGTATGTAGATTCAGGGAGTGACCTGAAGAAATTGATGGAATTTAATAGAGTTTTCGCATGTGCTGTTGGTGTCTTATCGAAATCTTAAAACCCAGACTAGAAGCTAATGATACAAGAACAGATTTGACTATAAATACAGAAAAGAAAATCAGAATTTATTCTTAAACCATTTTTTCTTCCTCTTCTACATTAGACTGTCATTAATATCAGTAGAAGTGGGATTGGTATGCCGTACTCAATATGGCAACGTGTATTTGTTTCAAGCTGAACTCTTAATTAATTTTCTTTCCTGTGGTATAAACATATTTAACTATGAAAAAGAACAGGGATTAAGACCAATACAAAATCTGATCTCCTTTCAAAGCCGTATTTGCATAGTTTAAGGGCTGCCTTTCTCTGCAGGATGGCTTCTGTAAATTCTGGAAAGTGAGCCACTTTGCTAATAGCTTTATATGACTTGGATATGACAGACACATTCCTGCTGGATCAAAGCCGTTAAGCCCTCTTTTGCAAGATGTGGGGCAGGAGTGTATACACTGATCTCTCACCTCCCAGATAAGTAATCTGCTCAACTAGGCTAGATGATAGTCTGAATTGCATTCAATTAATTAAATATTCATTAGAACAGATACTGCAGTCCTAGGCTTCCTCTGCTCAGATAAGTACATGAACAGTTTGACTGTAGACTCAAATGCTGTCTCTGCCCTACGAAATATGTTTAATTTTCAACATCTGTTTTAGTCACTGAATCCATTAAGTTGTGCTGATGAAAAATAATTTCTTGCTGAAGTGTTTTGCTGAATTAGACTTTAAAGACAAAAGAGGGTGTAGGTCAAATCAGGCTTTGTGTGGGTTGCAGTTTTAATGGCGGGGAGGGAAGGTGCTTAATAAAGATTATTAGGAAGTTATTAAGAAAACAGTAACAAACAGGGAAGGCAGCTGGGAGTAGACAGAAGCTGCATACTTGGTGCTGAATGGGAGTTGTTGGAAGTGCAGGGAAGAGGGCAGGAAGTTTTCAGAGAGTTGATTCAGTTGGCCTTTGAGCAGGTCACATGTAGCTGTGTAAGCTGAATAATGTATTGAAGCCTAACTTGCATAGATGTTTTAACTTAACACTAGAATTTTCGGTTAATGGCAGCCTAGAGCTGTAGTTTAAACTGTTGATAAGGCAAAGGGCTATCTCTGAGAAATATTTAATTAACTTCTGCAGAGCTTTTGTAGATTTACGATAACAAATGTCTACATCACTGTTGATACGCTCTCTTATTATTTAGTCACATGGTTGGTGTGTTCTGTTGTGTTTATGTACGTTTTTAATAAGTTTGAGGGGGGAAAATTTTGAAACTGGTGTGTGCATAATCACATGATTGTGGTTTTTGTGCTTCAGGATTCAGTTTTGTTTACTTTTTTGGTTTAACTTTGTTTTGCCCTTGATTCCATGACAAGCTCCAGCTGAAGTAATTCATGGCAAATTTTGCTCTCATCTGTTTGGCCTAAATGAAGAATGCTGTTTAGAATAAATTCTCTTCCCGTATGGCTTACATGTATAAACCCTTCGCTGTGGCCATGAAAAAATAATATATGAAATGGCACACACAAGGTGTCTGCTGTCAGTGCAGAGGGTAAAATCCTGAAAGCTTTTGTAGGAGTTATCTATTCACAGGAGAAATTTTGAGTAGGGTCTTTTCATGACTGGCCTCGGTTCAGTGATGTGCTAAGGGCTCTCACCTACCCTTGTGAAAACAGTGTAATATTAACTGGCTTGTAAGATTTGTCTGTATTGTTTGAAACAGACCTCAAACCTGGCCTGTTGTTTCTGTATTTCATCTGCCAAATGTCACTCTAAATTCTGATTAGATGACTGGATGCTGGAAAATAACAATACAATATGTTATGGATAAAGGGTTTTGACATAGGTGAAATTCTCACCTTAATTGCTGGTTTGTCTGAAGCTAAGGGAAACTTGTTGAAATAAAGGTTAGTGTACTGATCGGGTTTTGCATAAAAGTTGCACGCGCTAACTGGAAAAATCTATCAAATGCTTATTTTAGAATTATTTTAAAATCTTAAAGGCTAGCAACAGTTGTTACAAAAATGTTAACATACATCTTTTGAAATTATCCTTACAACTGTAGACCCAGAATGGCTGGTCAGGCTGTTATAAATCCCGAACTCAGTTACGCCACTGAAGTCCACAACAGCGCTGGCCTCTCCCTTTTAAAATCCCACCCTCTCCTTCCTTCTCTGGGTACAAAATGTTGCATCTCCAAAGTATCCTAGGAAATGTGAGTAGCCTGAGCTATGCCCCTTGGGAACGATGGAAAAATGGAAATAGCTTGAGGTCATCTTCCATGGCTGCGTACCTCCTGCAGTACTCGTGCTGTGGGGCGAACAGCTCCGGAGGCCTCGGAGGTGGCATCTCCTCGTGCGGAGCAAGGAGCTGGCACAGTCGTGGGGTTTCTGGCTTCTCAGCTCCCTCCCAGCCGGTGCAAGTCCAGCCTGCTTGGTGGGTGTGGGAGGAAGGGCAGGCAAATCCCTGTTTGTAAAGGAGCGAGGGAAATGCACCTGCATCAAAGTTCTCTGGAAATGAAAGTTTGGGTATCTTAAAAATAAGCATAATTTTATCCAAGCAAAACATTCATAGGTTCTGTATAATATTGCACATATGATTAGACTGTCCTTTTGAATATTATAGAAGTATATTTCAACTTAAAATGCTCTAGTCGTCTCAGTTCGGAATGTATTCCTCTGAGAACATGTAGGTAACTAGATAAAATAATTTTACGCGTTATCCTCTCTAAACTAGACAGTGTGAGTTACATATTCCAAAGCCCTGTGGCACCATGGTTTAGTTCAGGCAGGTTTGTCCAACGTTTCAATAAATTGAAAAGGTGTCTTCTCATTTCATGCACAATACTCATCTTGATTTCATGTGCCATACAATGGTAGTTGGCTCTGAACAGGAACAATTGCTGCTCTCCCTCGTATTGTCGTGGCACCGGTGTGCTGGCAGGACGGGCAGAGCCAGTGGTGCGAGGCTCGGTGCTGCCTGGCCCTGGGTCAGAGGAGGTACGGGGGTCAGGGATGTGCCTGCTGTGAAGGAAGTACCACTGGAGAAGTGTTTTTAAAGTATTTTTCTTTTTAGTGTAGATCCTGTAGGTGTCAGAGCGATGTAGGAATTGGGCTGTATGTTCTAGACATACTGTCTCTTCTCGGTGTTGTGTCCCGATACAGAGAGTTCTGTTGGCATCGGGGGGTTCCCTTCCTTGACAAACCTACCTCAAGTACACGGTGTGTGGGAGGAGGAGTAATCAGCTTTCTAAGATTTCTACAGCAGTTGTAATTTTGAGATTTCTTAATTACGGTGATTGTCACTAAAACAGTTTCTTTTCTACTTTGATATCTCTTTCCTGGTGCTGTTATGATTCACTCTTGGGAGATTTGGAAAACTGCTTCGGGCTTCCTAAACTTATGCAGCTGTTCACAACTGGAAGCGACCTACTTCAGAGCTGTTCTTACCCAGTTAAGAATGTCTCTGAGACTGAATGGCAGCAACATAAACTTCCCAAGCGCTGCCCATAGGTTAACAGAAGAAATGATTTGTTAAGAAAATTGGGAGTTTGTACTGTGAGGAAGAATAAGTAGTGTGCTGTAAACTAAAAAATTGCCCAATCCTTGGATTAGATTCAGTGGAAACTTTGCTTACTTGGATAAAGAACTGGATGTGGAGAGTTCAAGCAATGTGTGTGATTTGTTATAACTGGTGGTGGTCTACAGAATGGAAGACAATGTCCACAATCTCTTATAGACAGTGCTGGGGGAAAAAAGTGAAAAAAATGTACCTGAAAATGAATGAAACTGCTGTCACTTACAGATTTCTACAATTTAAAAATGCATATTTCATTTTTCATTCAAGAATGTGCAAATGTTCCATGTGGGCATCTTTTTTCATAGGTGTCAATGACGGGAGTTTTGTGACCATTTTTTGAAGCAATTGCCACTGCTTGGTGTGTTGGGTGGTGACCTGACGTGGTTTGTTGGCAGTTCCTCTGCCCTTCTGTTTCAGTGTTTAAGCAAAATACAAATTTTCAAGACAAAGAAGTCTTGAAACAAGAAGTGTTTAAGTAGTACGTCTGTTTACACTAGCTGACCTTGATATGTAATGTGAAGGACCGTAAGTAAAAGACTCTGTGTAGCACAGGGACCTGTGACCCATCAGCACCTAGCCCAGTATGTCAACTTTGATTTGTATCCTATTCTCTTAGCACTTACGGCAAATAAGGACTAATTCCCTCAGACCTGCAAGAGGTGGTAGAGAAAAGACAGACTCTTAACACTGAGAGTAACAGATTGCATACTGCTACGCTGTGTGGGTGTTACTTCCTTTGGGGTGGAAGGGCCCTGTCTCGACAACATTTCTAGGTGATTTCAGCCAGTGGATCTCAATCTGTTTATAGCTGGTGACAGTATTCAGATTGCTTCGGGAATCCACGTAAACCTGAGTATAAAGTGGTTTAGAGATTGAAGTGCAGTTGTCACTGAATCTTTGTTTATTTTGTTCCTTGCAGGGCACTGTTCGGAGGATCATAATTGAGAATCCTGATCAGGTAGGGAAACTGTTTAGTGCTGGATTTCTGTTTCATAACCCTTCTCACTTAATTGTCCCAATCTGATGAAGTACTCAGCTGCCTCCATCAGGGGATGCCGAATATGTTGAAATCATATGGCCCATACCTCTGATGGTGAGAGATGGAATTATTAGGGATTGAAAATACTACAGAATTGCCAGTCAGGCTTCCCACCTCTCAGCAGTCAGGTCTCAATATGCTTCAGTAGTATTGCTACTGGAGATTAATTTCCAACTATTTCTACTATGTGTATTTCAGATACTGCCTAGAGGGAAGCACAGTCGCTTTCTTTCCAAATGAACATACACTCCAATTTATATATCTTAACTATCTCAAAGTAAATGTGTCTTCAAATTACAAAAATCCCATGTAATTTTTCAGTCAAAATTACACTAATTCTGAATTTGCTGTTTAACAACATTTATGAATGTTTTAATTAAAATGTTTTACAGGAGCCGTTATCCCCATTTCTTAGAGGGGGGAATTTCTGTCCTGGAAATAATGTCATCTATGAAAAAACAATAAGAAAATACGAGTTATTAAATCCCCACCAAGTAAGTTGTTTATGTTACCTATTGCAAAAGAGGAATTGAGGTGATAGCAGAAAAGTAATGTTTCTGGGTTGTTGTGGGTTTTTTTGGAGGGGAGGAGAGGGGAGGAAATGCTGCCAACCTGAGAATTACCTTGTTGAGGTATCAGACACATTCTCAAAGTAAATAAAACAATTTCTCTATGTGAGGAGAGCAGAAGTTGGAACATTTGCTATATTTTTACTACGAATTTATTATTTCAGATTAACAATGAAAATTGCTCTTGTATCTCTAGCACTTTCAGTCTTTCTCTGAATATTGACTGAGAATTAGTTTCTTGTAGTAGCTCCACAGTGGAACAACCAATATAAATTTTTACAAAAAGTGAAAAGGTAAATGTTTTTTTTTTTTACTTGAAAAAATATATTTGGTAAAGCTGTCTGAAATTTCATCTTAGAATTGGTGTTTTGTCAATAGCAAAAATATTACTAATTTTTTATTGCTCTGAAACACTTCCAACAGGAAAAAAAAATGGAAATGAAGGGTAATTGAGTGACTTATCTGTGTTTTGGTTTGTTTTTTAAAACCGAAGTTTTAATGAAGTTTCATTTTAGATTGATAAATTAGGTGTAATAGCCATTCACTGAATTGGAAAGGGCTAAAAAAAAAAAAAAAGAGGTAATTATGAATAATAGCTTCTTTCTTTCCACAGATGGTGTACAAAGAAAATAATAAAACCAAATGTGGAGTCTAGTTCTGGAAGCTGTATTTCTGTTTTTTTTACCCAGAGTATAGGTAGATTTAGGTCAAATCAGGAGTGTAGTTTTGAGGAAAATTTCCCAGTCTCCTACCACATATCACTCTGGTTTATGCTGCACCATGGTCTTGGATCATGCAAACTAGATTTCTTTCAAGTGAAATTAGAATTTGTTGAAAGAGCGCACCCAGGGTGCTCAGACCACTCACGGGTGTGCAGCCCCTTCAAAACCTGATGTAAAACCTCCTCAGAGCTGTAGAATGGCAGTATTGGGTCCTCGCTCTGCTCCTCTTGTGCATTTTGGTGCAGAATTAGATGTTGGTTTAATCTATTGAATGTAACTGCATTGTGAGTTTTAAGTCAAAATTATCTGAACGATTTGCATTTATTTACTTTTATGTAGATTACAAAATATGTATTTTTTGAAGGGAACTTGTAAAAACCATGATCTAGACAAACAATCAAGTTTGCTGAAATCAGTAAAACACTTTCAGTGTTTTGACTGGAACATAAACTAGCTTCTAGTTTATTGGTTTGGTAGGTGGTTTTGTAAACCACCTTTTCTAAGAGGAATGTGTCCCTTATGTATTGTACACTCTGAAACTGCTGAAAGCATTTATAGAGGAAAATGTCTCGAGCCCTTTCCTATACTATTTTTTTTTTCCTGAAATAATGAGAACTCAGTAAGTAGTTCAGCTGGAGCTCTTCTTTTAATCTCTGAAATACTTAGTGAAACAGGATATGCATGTTTTAAATCAAATAATGAGGGTCCCTGTTGCCCAAGTATGTTAAGAGTAACAACATGATGAAACATACAACTCAGGAGAAGTCTTTTGTGCTTTTCATTTGCAGTTACTAAAATTTTAGGAGTTGGTGAATTACAACCTTGAGGTATGGAAGTGTGAGGCAAACTCATGTTGAATTAGGAAAAAAAGCAACTTTATTAGGATTATTAAAATATCTGGAACTGTCATCAGTCTTTCCATGCAAAACCACATTTTATTCATTTCTATATTCATATTAAACTTCCATCTCGTTAAGATGTGTCCAGCAGCTTAAAAAAATCCATTCTGGTTTCTAGGAGAAGCAGTATCAGTTTTCCCACCAATGTCAGATTCCCCAGCAAGCCGATCAGAGCCACGCTGCCCAGCCCTACCAGCACTCCGAGCAGTCCCAAGTCACTCACCAGTGCCAACAGACACAGACCAGTAGCCCTTGTGAAATATTTCCAGTCTCTGTGAGCGATGACTGCAGAGGAAATACCGTGAGGAGGGTAACAGTTCAAACCTGTGAACCGGTAAGAATCATACTATTGACAGCGTATTTTTGTTTTGTGTGCAGGATACAAAACTTTACAGATACATAAAATTGCGAATCCCCAGTTTCAGAAGTTTTTGTTCAAACTCATAGCAGGGTAATTAATACTTGTAAATAAACAGCAGGGTTTGTGTGTCTGTTGCAGGTCACTTCTCGGTGTGCTGTGATTGCCGACATTGTCTAGGACTGTCCATGACTTTACCACATGCTGTTAAGAACAAAACCAAACAAACCTGTTCTTGGTGTTGTATCCTATTTCTTGTTGGCACAGCCCTGTGCTTAGGTGTACTGCCGGAGCATTGCTCTGTTGTCCTTTAAATGTGTTACGCCTTGCTGGCTTCTTTAGGTTTTTCTCTGTATCTGGGAGTGCTACCCACTGATGGAGTTGGGTTTCATCCGTCAGTCTTTGCACAACAAAGATTGAGTAATGTAAGGCTTATGCCTCTAGTGTTGGAGAAAAGATACATTACTTTATAAACTCAACATACATCAATTCAGCATTGCTTTCTACCCAAACTGATCAATAAGGACTTAAAAATATATTTCAATTTGATGTGGAAGTATTTGACGTGAATTCACTGGAAGCTCAGAACTAGCTTCCTGCACCCTTCATTTTACAGCAGGTTGCAAGTTCTGGAGTTTCTAAGGGCTGCAGGAGGCTTGCTATACATGTATGCTGTTATTTCAGTATATTATTTCATATTTCATGTAATCGGTATATAGGTGGCAAGACAAACATACTTGGTGACCTCAGTGTTAGACCTATGTGGAGTCTTCCATAGTCAGATACTCCCATAAACGAACCTCGGTGCTCTCAGTTTGGGCTGGCATTGAAGTTCTTTAATTGTTCACATCTGTAAACATTTGAACTGTGGCAGTGCAAATACCCTTTTTGCAGTGGGAAATCCTGCACCCGACAAGAGCAAACAGAACCAAATCCAGCACACTTGGAGCATTTTCGTGTTCAGCTTTCATCCCGAAGAAGGGAACTCAATTATGACCTTCTTGCCTATCTTCTGCTAGGTGAATTGCTCTCAGGAAAATAACGACCAGCTGGACTGCCGCTACTTTGGTGAGCTCCTTGCTGAGCTGAACCGCAAGACCAACGACTTGCACAGTTGTTTACTACAGCATGTGGAAAAGATAGGAGGAAGGTATTGGCTTTATATCTGTTCTGTCATTTCTGTATTCCAGAAGTCCTGGTGCTGCACAGCTGAGTGGACAGTGTTGTTTGCAAGTTGTTCGTTGGGGTTTTTTTGTGTCTTCCCTAGCAACTAATATTGACTGTGTATTTTACACATTCATCTAATTTCCTGATTAACTGAAGACATAAAAATGCTTTAAGCCAAGTAAATTTATTGAATTTGATGCTTCTGCAAATTATTTACACTAATACACAAGTAAGAATTATGTATCCCACAGCTATTTGCATCTACAGCAAGCAAGTGTACTTTCAGCATGCTCTGACATCCATTTAACCTATACAATTCTGTTACTATGTCCTGAAGAAACAACCCAAACATCCAAATTGCCATTTCCTTTGTTCTGTCGTGGTGTTATGTCATGGATTAAGAGGTGGCCACCATAAGGCATAAAGCTCGGTATCTACATGCAAATTATCGTTAAACACCTACGCTGCAGAGCCCTACAGCCTGTCTTGGAAAAGAAATGCGGAATCACAGCAGCCAGTGATCCGAGGCCTCAAAATGTTCTTGCCCTTCCCTCCCCATCACTGTTGCTCCATTCTTCCCCCCTCACTCCCACCCTTGTTTTGTGCTTTCGGAGTTCCCTGAAACAAGAAAAGTGGTCTCATAGCAAGGGAATAGTGGAACTTAAGCATCACACAAAACCCAACACTGCAAAGTAAACACCTCAGGCATGTCAGTATATGTTGCAACACAGTTCTGGGTAAACCATCACCCAGCCAATTAAGAATGTAATAGGGTTAACCGAACATAATTGGGATAACTGCCCAAAGAAGTGGAGATAGTTAGCCTGTGTTAGCTGTACTGTGAGCATTCCAGTCTCCTCAGGTATTTTTACATGGAGGTGTATTTTAACAATTCGTGTTGCCTAGCACCTTAGAAGGGAGGTAACAGCTCTTGATCTGATAAAGAACCTTCATTGCTTAGTATTTTAAAGACATTTTTCTAGTTGTAAATGTGGGCGTGAATTCTGAAAAGTTCTCAAGAAGCATGCTGTTAATTGGTCCCTTGGATTTTTTCTGTTTTACAGGACCCATGACATTGAATTAACGTGTCAGGTAGGCATCAGGCACACTCCTACCGAGCTGTTCCCTGACTTGTAGTCTTAATAATGATGGTGTGGATCTCCAAGCAAATTGAGCCAAGCCAGTTTAAGTGAAGGACGCTGGTCTTTGTTGGTTAATGAATCCGGCTGGTTAATAACATTGAGAGCCTGAAACCTACTGCTGGGCATGTATTTGCAAATGTGGTAATATTGAAAGGAAACTTTAATAATTTGCATTATTCCAGTATGAGAGTCAAATTTTGAGTCTTTCCTGTTGTGCCAATAACAGCTTCATTGTAGAACAAACTTCCACAGCTACATGTATTTTCACTCTGCATTTTTTGCAAGGATCTTCCACTCTCACCATAAAGCTGCTGTTCAGCAGCATGTGCTGCCCTGCGCTGCGGGGAGCGGCGACTCCCGCCTCTCGCAGAAACGAGGAGCGCAGGCTGACCAACAGGCTCCCTGCATCTACGGGAAGCTCACTGGTGAATCGGGCCGTGGCAGAATCGCAGCCCCTCTGTTCTCTCTCGTGGCATAGTGCATACGGGAGAGATGCTTGTCTAGGATAAAATTACATGAAGCAATGCCACTTCATCAGTGGCAATATCTCCTGTGACACACTGGTCATCTTTAGTTTGCTGCCAATCTGTTCTTTGTTTAGAAACACGAGATTCGCTCGTATCATCAGCTGCTATTTTCTTGAGATGATTGCTTGGAATACAGCTTTTAAAATAAACGTTAAACTCAATGATTTGAATATCTGCTTCATGTATCACTTCATCTCAGTTTTTATATGACACATATATGTAAGGCTGGAAGTTTTCTGGATACACTTTGATCTATTTTCATTCTTATTTGCCTTGTCCTAAACATGTTTTTCATAGTAGACCCATGTAATTATGACCTACCAGGCAAAATTATTAATCAAGATGTCTCCCCTTTCCTCCCTTCTTTGCGTAGACTGAAGAGATTGAAGATTTAATTCCCAAAGGACTGTCTGAGGCAACAAAGCAGCAGATTCGTTATCTCCTCCAGGTATGTGGGTGGGGTGGAGGAGGGGCTGTGTGGAAGCTGTAGTAACTTGGAACAGTGGAGGTTGGCTTACACATGCCAGGGATTTTGTACATCATATACTTCACTCTATATTTGGCTTATTCCATTTTTGTCTAGCGTAAAGGGTGTGGAATCATACAGGTGGCTTCAAGTGACATGTTGTGGCAGTTGGTTCCACAGACTACTTGTGTACTTTTAAACTAAGCGTTACGGGTGTTTTCTTGCAGTTTCACTGGAAAACACCTTGGCTTTTGGCCAATTACAGGAGAGCACAGATGTTTCATCTTTTTCTTTGTGTTGCGTATCAATGTTTTACTTTAAAAGCTTAGAGGTCAAACAGTAGGTGCTTTACTGAATGTCGAATTTGGTATCCATTGCCAGCTACGTATAATGCTTGTAACTTAGGTCTCACCTTTTACAAATACTCTGGTCAAAAGCGTCTAACGCAGCGCTAGGTTCTGAGGCATGCTTATGGCATTCGGCAACAGAACCTAGCCACGCCCGATTTGGTTCCGTTTATAAAGGCTTTTGTGTTCTGATCTGGTTCTTTAGCTACCCAGCCATCTCAGGTTTTCACTCACCAGCCACACGGGTCTGGCTGTGGGCAGGCAGACACGGAAGGGAGGTTCTGATCGTGGTGGTTTGGTTTGTTGCTTCCCAGCACTGTAATACTCGGCAGTGTGTTTTTTAGAAAAACGCTTGACCTCTTTATGAAGTGCTTTGAGGGCAGCTGACTGGAATTGGCCACTGCCTTAGATAAAATATTAAAACCAGTGCTGTAGCATGAATCCCAGTGCCGACTCCAGAACCACTGGGCACGCAGGTATGTTAAAACAGGATTCCCACCGGCCTGTGCTGCTCAGCAGGCGTGTCTGGCTCTGGTCTCCCTGAGGTGAGGGTACGGTGATAGAGCTGCAGCTTAGAGTCACTTCCTAGTAAAAAAAAATCCATTTGAATAAATTGGTGAATGAGCAGCCTGGTCGGACTTCACAGCTGATCCTCCTGATTCTTTTGCAATGAAGATGGACATGGACACCAAAATATTTCCTAACCTCATGTTAGAACACCAGCCCAGGAAGCCGGTTCAGCTCACCCTGTGTGGAAGAGCTGCAACACCTATTTCCTGCTTTCTCTAAGTCCAGCTGGTTTTACATTTTCACATCGATGCTTAGAAAAAGGGCAGCTAAAATGTCTTTTGGGGAACCAGATACTGTCAGCACACATACCGGGTGTTCTTGGCCTGCAGACCCATGTGCTGCAGTTTCCCACCCGAGCAGGATTCCGAGCGAGCTGTCAGGCTGCTCAGATGAAGACTCTGCGGGGTGTGCCTGGAGGCTTAAGGCCAAGAGCATGGAGAATTTCAGTGCAGTACATGACACCTCTGGAATGTAGCAACCTCTAGCACTAAGCAGTAGATGAGTGGGGACTTATTTGTATGTTTATAGTCTAAATTCAACCAATTTGACTTAATTCCTTCTTTTAATCTACTCTTAGTGTATTTCACAATAAACCCAACAAAACGGTAAGTCAAAATTGAAATTCCACTTTAATTAAACAAAGCAAACAGGTGAGTTACACTAGAAATGTTGGGTTTGAAGCCTCAGTCACATAACAGCACCAGTGGGGATAAAAATATAGGACGGGGCTAATCACCGTATCGATGGAGATCTTGGTAGCTTCCTTCAACCTGAATGATCAACAAAAGAAGTTAAGGGCAGGTATCCGAGGGAAGAGAAGCAGACAGGAGGATTTCAATTTTGTCCAGAGAGTAAAAAAATACATCTTTTGCACAGAATATTCAGCCCTTCCAGATGAGTCACACCTTGTGGAATTCCTTCGTATGTTCCTTCAAAATCTATTTTTCTTCTTTCAAGTATTAGAAATGTATCATGAAATGCAACAATTTGTATTTTAGCATGAATCAATACACAGCTGATAACACACATTAAAAGAAAAAAGCAAACAGTGGTAGGCTATTGTGCACTACTGCTTGTCTCCTTCATCCAGTTCACCCCTTTAATCTTTGGGATCTTTTTCCTTTTAAAGAGAGGAGTTGGTTGTATGGCTTTTTTAATTTAAATTTTTTTAAAAATTAATTAAATTCTCTTGTCCTTGGGCTGAAAACATGCTTTGTCAGATCTCCAAGATGATGACTCATTCCTCTGGCTTCTCAGGTAGGAATCCCAGAGCTCTGAACACTCAAAAAATGGTTGTGTAATATTAACGCATTCGGTTTTCCCTGTATTGGTGTACAAATGCAGTCCTTTCTTTACTCTCTTGTTCCTCCCATTTTAAAACCAGGCTGTTTGCAGTTTTCTACCTATTGTCAAGCATATTGTAAACAGAGCTTACTAATTAATCAGAAGTATACATTTTTGCTTTTTTCCCCTCCTAGATGAGAGTGACATCAGATAAATCTTTGAGACTTGTGCTCTCCACTTTCAAAAATTTACGTGAGGAGCTCTGCCATTTGCAGGATGACCTGGGGGTAAGCTGTACTTTTCGGTTCCCCTGGCCCGATCGATCTGTTTGCCCATCAGTAGGAAGGCCGTTATGATGACACTGAAATTGCGCAGTTCAGGCTTGAGTTGCTTTTAATGCAAGTGGCTGGTTTATTAACGGAGTTGCCAGACTCCTACGCTGGATGCGGTTGGATCTCTTTCTAGCAGTGGCTTTCAAGTGTTTGATTTGTTGAAGCCTAAAAACCCAAATAACTTCCAAAGGTGGAAAGGACCCTGATGAGTGAAATGAGGTTTAAAACTCTGAATCAGTCTGCACAACGCGCCTATAGCACCTGCACTGGTGTGGATGTGTGGAACTGTGCTTTGACCACCAACGTGGACGGGGGCCACCCCCGGGGCCTCTTCACCAGCGCAGTTCCAGGAACCTGGAGCCCCGGGTTCCACTCGCTCCTCCCAAAGCTGCGTCTCCCCCTCCGCAGGAACGCTGCCGTCTGCCAGCTGGTGGCCCCGGCGATGCCAGCGGCTCCGGGGTCCAGGCGTCCCCCCGGGCAGCGGGAGCTCTGCGGCTGCTGATACAGACAGCAGATGGTGGCTGCCAGGAAAGCAGAAACGTTTCTCACACCAGCCCAAGCGCTCAGCACCACTGGAAACTGCCCAGCCTTCTCCTGTAAAATGCAAAGTTTAGGGAGGGCGCAGGGAGTGTTAACTGTCACCTTGAACATAGAACAAGCCGTCTGTGCAGTGAAGTGGTCTTAGTTTTGGGTTGTTTGGTGGCTTCTGTTTAATAACTACAAATAATTCCTTTTGGGACACTGAAGGAGCAGTGTCCAGGATCCCAGTGCTTACCACACAACACAAAGCCCCAGACACTAGTGATGGGCAGCTGTGTGCTTTGTAGTTAAAACCCCACAGTTTCAAGAAAATCAAGTATTTTCTCAGTTCTAAAGCATCGCTCACTAATTATTCAGTATGATACACTCTGAGTATGGGAAAAGTTTACTGAAAAAGTGCATTTATCGACCTTAAACACTTTTGTCTTACAGAAGTTAGAAACAGACAGTGTATTACTTAAGAAGGATTTGGCTTTTAAAGATTCTCAAGTAAAAGAATATGAAACGATGTTGACTTCTCTGAGAGAGAATAATCGTCAGCAGCAGGTAAATCTAAAAACGTATTTTCGGTGTAATAGCAGTCAGGCAAAAACTGGCCAGTATGGCGACCTGGGAGCGCTCCCAGTACGTGCCTGTCTGTGAGCCTGTCACTCCCTTAAGGAGCGCCATCCATTCATCCCACTTCTCTTGTTTTCCAGCAAGGTCTCAGAGAGAGTACCGCAAAATGTCGCTCTCTGGAAGAACAGCTCCTCTCTCTTCGGCTCAGCGAGGGAGAAAAGGATTGTCAGCTGAAGGAACTGGAGTACTGCAAGCGTGCCTTGGAGCAGGAGATCCAGAGCCTTCGACTACAGGTGACAGGCTCCCTTGTTCTGTGTTCAACAGCTGTTATCCACAGATCCATTAATGTATGAAAACTAATAATGAAAACTCTCTTTTTAAAATAAAAAATTATTTCATTTTCTGTAGACCTGCTCTAATCCAACACTGCAGACCACCACAGACGAACTCTCCAGCCGTTACGTAGAGATGATAAATAACTTAAGAGAGGATAAAGATCGTGAGATCCGCAGTCTCAGGGTAAGTTGTTTAACTTGGCCTGTGCGTATTCCTCATGCTGCAGGCAAACAGCTTTTTCTTTAATTAAGGAATAGGAAAGTTCTACCGTATATACTTTTTAGATATCTTTTGGTTCTGCAATTATTTTATACACAGGCACTAATGATGGCTCAGAAACCCTTATGGTAGAACATAAAACTGATATTAAAAAAATACAATTCCTTAGATGTAGAAATTAGGCAGTAATCACATTAGCAGTCCTTCCTAGAGGGGTAATTTGTGTGTCCTGATAAAGTAAGAAACCATCCAAAAGACACCTAACAGAAACCAAAAATAAATCCCAGTCAAAACTGCATGTAGGAAATATCTCATTTAAATCACTGTAGTAATAGTTTACCACCCTGGAAGCCAGTTCAACTTGTTCAGTGTTGTATCAGCACTACTGAGTTATGAAACTGTTGAATTGATAGTGGGTAGAATTCAGTCCCGTTAGCGCTTTCTCAATTTGGTGTGCAGCAAAACATTCTCGTCTGAAAGTCACTGGGTCTTAGTGTTCATGATTTTAATGAAAAAAATACATCCAGAGTCCTAGATACCTACTGAAAGGTCACCTGCAAGGAGCACCAAACACCTCACTGTTCCTTAACGTATGTTTTGTAGTCTCAGTTGTGCCAATTCCAGCAAGACATATCAAGGAGAGAAGGAAGTAACAGTGACTTGCAAATAAGATTGCATGAACTGACGTCAATGTTGGAAGAGAAAGATGCTTTTATTAAACAACAGCAAGAGGTAAAATAATACAACTTCTAAGAACTTTTATATTTATGCCTTCACTTACTGGGTGGTGGGAACTTAGCAGGAGGTCACTTGTACTCTCCTGGTTCAAAAATCAGGGTTGGGATTTTTAACTGAATGCTATTTCTCTGCCAGTCTTTTGGAAGGACAGACTTTTTCAGACTGCACCTTGAGAGGAATTTCTGTAAATATTTTGTTGTGATTTTAGTGAACTAATACTTTAGAAAACATGATTTGATTTGAATGTTTACTTTTGGTTTTCTCAGGACCTCTTCAGATTGAAGAATGAGAAATTATCAGGCAGTCAGACCCCTGGCGTAACAGCTATCATCACTAAGAAGTAATGTAGTTATTCACCTTTCTTAAAAATACATCCTCTTGATTTTTCCGTTGTATAGCCCCTGCTAACTAAGTTATTCCTGCAAATCAAACTTGAAGGGGAACAAGTCGAGGGAGGTTTTCGTATCCGGAGAGGATTCAGTGTTAAGCACTGTAATAGCAACGGGGGGGTGGCCAGCATGGTGAAGTGACAGTTAAATGCCTGCGTTAGCTTTTTAGTTACTGGTGAAAAGCTCTGGGGATTAGTGACTGGAGGGACGGTGGGGCAAGGTCAGAGCTAGTGATCTGGCTCTGGGAACGCCGGCTGCAGTTTACAGGTTTGCAACTTTTTTTAATACAGGTACCGGAACCAGTATCCTATTCTGGGTCTCTTGTCTGATGACTACAAGGTTACATCACCTGTCAATAAATCACAAACTATTGTCATTGAGAGGACTGGAGAGATATGGAAACATGTAAGTTTACCTCGAGATTTGACTATTCAGTCTCTGAAATTCCTAAGTATGCACTTCAACTTTAAAGGAAGTATTAGCCAAAACTGACTCTGAGAGAAAGCCGTAGTGTTAATTTAACCTGGCTGCAAAAAGCAAAGTGACTGATGAAAGTCAAGGAACTGTACTGTCTATTGCAAGAAGGCACTAATTGTTGGGTGGAGTATAAATAAAATAAGCTTTTGTTGTTTTCTCTGACATGTAATTACCGTTCACAAAAGAAGAGGCCTTGCTCTAACCCCAGCCTCTGCCCTCCCATGCAGGGCAGTCTTGTGGCATTGCTGTAAGGGGAGGGAGTGAGTGAGACAGGAGTTTCTTCTGGGTTGTGCTCTCGGGTGGAGGAGTGTTTTGGGCAAGCAGTATCCTCTGAATCATGAGTATTAATGACTCCAAACTATAACTATTAAGCACCACTGAGACAGGGCAGTGACCTACCCAGGAACTGCAGAAGAGTGGGGACTGTCTAAGGAGTGATTCAGAGTAAAAGCAGAAACTAGGACTGCAGAGGTTATTTATGTTACAGGGCCCAAGGTAACGCTGGCAAGTGTGAATACAAGGTAAAGGCTTGGGAAGGATCCTTGGGGCCAGTTCACAACCACGTGTTCTGCACGAGGGCATGTGACGACGCTGTCTGCAGCCAGAGCATGACAGAGCAGCACAAACAAGTGCTGAGTGGGCAGCTTTGTAGGGGATGTGCCCAAGAACAAGACAATTCTGTGAGCAGCCTGAGTAGATGAAGGGTAACATATCTGGCGTGTTCTAAAGGGTTATGTTACCTGGAGTAGAATTAAGAAATTAAGAGGTAGAGGTCACTGGCAAACTGCGGTTTTATTACTGATCTCTCAAACCCATCCAGTTGCACTGCAACCTAGTGAAATGTTGTCAGGGAATTAAACAGTAACGAAGCGACACTGACAAAGCCTAACCCCCCTCCCTCCGAGCTTACTTGGGACGTTAGTCATACTCTCCAATTTAAAAAATGGAAAAGGTGAGTACGATCTACATTTGAAGAGATCAGTATAATTAAATAAATAAGAACTCTTTGTATTTGAAGTTTCCCAAGGTCTCCATCAATCACTAGTGCAAATTTCAGCTGAGACAAAATTACTTTGCTGCAAGATAAACTTGATAAGTTTGAGAAGTGCCAAGTCCACCTTTACTCCAAGCTTTACCAGTACCTGTCTGTGTTTGTGTACACTCAGCCAGAACTTTGTATCTGCACACATTATTGAATAGTAATGCTGACAGCTTTCTGAATAGTGTGGGGGGGTTATTCTGAAAGTAAGTAGCCTGTACACATCTTTAAAGCAATGATTAGTTACCATGCGCAGTCCTTTAGGATATGCAAGTGAAAGTACTTAAAGCCAGTTATAGTAGAGAAAACTCGTAGGGTAGAAAGGGTGTAATAGCTACTGCTTAGGTATCTGATAACTTCCTGTTCTTTGGTTGTTTTCCTAAGTACAAAACCAGCTCCTGTCCTTGGTGTTGTGTTTACGGGCGACAGTGAGTCAGGCCAGCTCGGACACCTGCCCCTCGCGGAACAAAACCCCTCACAGCTCAGCGCTGCAGCTTTGGCCTTGCCCGTGGCGAGGACCAACGTGCTGAGCGTCTGTTACAGAGACGCTCCCTGGCCACTTGAGACACATGGGAAGTCAAGCCATTAGAGAGAATAAATCTATCATTGAGACATGCTTTCTATACCCGGCAGTTTTTTTCTACAGAGGGAATTAAGTTTGTGTATTTTCTTCTAACAAGCTGCTTGTTTCTTTCAGGAATGAAAAATCTCTAAGCCATCAGAGCTGCTCAAAGGACTTCGCAATGACCAAAATTGCTTTACTTTCTGCTAATTCGCATCCAAAAAAGGTTCAGTCTGATAGTGAGAAAGGCTGGGGAACACATAAATGATCTGGAAGCATGAAGATGATGGAAAACACTGCCTCATCCTCAGCATAAAGAACTGCTACCTGTGTCCATAATCTGCCACTAACACCTGTGTACAAATGTTATTTGTACTTTTTCATGCACGCACTTTTTGCTCAGGAGACAGCAGTATGCCACGCTCCTGTGGACTTCAGTTCTTGACATGACTAACTTCTGTTCTTCAGCCAGCCCTGAAGCAACCTAAAAGACAAGAAGACACCTGAAACCTTTTTCTCTTTGTATGATTAGCCATATTCCTCTGTCCTACCTACTCATGCTGAGAGGTGAAAAGAACACCCAGTTACGCCCTGTAACCAAATGGCTGGATTCTGTACAGTCACAGATTGACATCTTATCTACTCCTTTATCCAAGGAAACCCCAGAACCAACCTTCATGGGGAACTTTAACTCACTGAAAAACACTTACCTTCCCTCTCCCTATGTATGGGAAGCTAAAACACAAAGGAAAATTATTTAACTTACACCAGATATACAAGTCCTCAACCTTAGCTCCTGAATTGGCAAATACAAGTTATCTCTTCAGTGACATGATTGGGCAAATGCCACTTTTAAAGAATGTTACTGTCCTCAGAGTTGATGTAATTTCAGCTGGACCTCTACAAGACCCCAAACCAGCCATACTTCCTTTGCTGTGCTTGAAGATTTCAAGAACTTGGTATATTTCTATATAAGCTTAGTATGAAAATAGCTCATAGATTAAATCTCATTATAAGACCAATCTTCCACTTAAAATTTTTGCTCCTTGCAGGACCACAGAAATTCTCAAAATTATTTGCTATTAATAATTAAGCAGTTATCTAAGCAACACCATGCAGAGAATCTTAGGGGAAATTTTGAACCATGCAATCAAGAGGTGCTAGCTCTTTATCATGGGGGTTCTTGCTTTGCTTTATTTCTGCAGAGCTATGTTTTCTATTCACAAATAATATATATCACAGACAATGTTTAATGGTGAAAGAACACTGTAGGCTATGTGTAACTATGAAATAAACCTGAGTATAACTTTCTGAATCGTGTTTGTCTGTACTGGAACTGGCTTGTGTCTACGTGAGAGGCTGGAAGGGCTTGTTTTAGGTGGGACGATACTGCCTTGTTTTCAGGCAACTTGTTCCTTTAAATGAATCTTTACCAGTAAAGGAGCAGCCTTGGGTCTTTTCTCACTCCTGCTGCCAGCCCCCCGCTTGGTTTGTGCTGGGGTCTCCAAGGCCCCAGTGCTCTGTAACAGGGAGAAAGGGCTGAGCACTGAGCCTGGGCCAGGGGCGCCGCGGGAGCAGGGCCAGCCTGAGACAGGCCTGCAGCACCACCAAACAACTATCACCTTAGCCTAGCTCTATAGAAAGAGGCTTTAGTTAAAAATAAAGTATCCTCATTTAAATGAAGAGTGCCTTGCTCCTTTGAAATCAGTCATAGATTCTAAAATAACCCTCTCATTTGTGTATAGCAGTTAGATAGAAGATACACACCCACACAGAGCTGACATAGTAATGACACAGAATAGTGTCAGTGTATTGTCAAAAAATTAATTTTAGTTACAGTCATCTAATAGCTTTTAAACTCTGGTGACCTAAATGATAAAAATAAATAAAAGAGGAAGAACATCACACTTGTTTAATGCCATCAGCCTGTTACCTGTGCCTAACTGCAGTTTCATCCTGCTGGAAGGAGACACAAAATAATGTGCTGACTTACTGCGGTCTTTGCCATGATCTCAGCTGGGCTTGACTAGTCGGAAGCTTTACACAAACCACTTGGAAGAAGCTACAAACAGCAGAAACATGAGTTATAAATAGACACACTGTGCACTCCAGGCACCCACTGCAACGGTTGTACAACAGATTTAGTAGCCGTTCCATTCAGTAACACCAGTGTTTAACTCTGTGTGACCTAAGTCCGTGCAATAGCACAGTGCAGGCAGCAAAGCCCTTAAAGAACAGAAACGTGGGCTCTGAAGACAGTCAGAGCTGCTGGGTGCAGCATGATAATTTCATGACAAAGGCCAGGACTAGGCAAATGAACTGTTTTGCATATACAGCTAGCATTATGGTAAATTTGAAAACACCGTGATTGTTCCCTGTACTTGAAGAGATGGGTAACAGACATTGTATTTAAAAAAAGCCCCGTTTGCTGATTAGGAAAGACAGATGGCAATACTGTATTGTGTAGCAAGGACCAGCTGCTCTAAGGCTTGCTGGAGTATTTCAAAAATTCTGTGCACTGTAAATGCTACAGAGCTGATGGTTGTGATAACATGAAGCAATAGCTACCAGTCAAAAAGCTGAATTGACTAGTAGACAAAACATAATGGCCATCGGAGTCTTGTTTTGTTTTTAAACCAGATTTATTAAAAAAGCAAATTCAGTATATTTTATTATAAAAGTACATGTTATTTGCTGTAGTGTCAGCTATTGCCTTTTTTTCTGTTGAACTGAATCCAATTTACGTAACATCATTTCTGATGGAGTTTACAGAAACACAGTTTTGTCATTTACTCATCTCTGTCAATGCTAGTTACTGCCCTAATTACGAACAGTACAGTATACTTTAGTCAGTATTTCACCTCAATTTCAGCTAGGCCCGCTAAGACTTCTACATTTTTTTCAGGAACAAATTAGAAAAATCACAGACAGCATTTACTTAATATATTTACAACAGTACACACACTGCCCTATTAGACTGTCTTTATCAATAGTGTTATTCGATAAACTCTTACTGCCTGAACAGATCTGATAGCATGCAGCGTTTCTTGTTCTTACACTGAAGAGCAGGAGAAAATGGTTTTCTGGTTTCTATTACTGACTTTTCCTCACAACTCAGTACGCAGTATGGGAACAGTTTCTCTGCCTCAACTGTAGAATTAAAGCCAAACAGAGTCCTGGTTCAGAGGTTACTGACATCTCTAGCATTTTGTCTGAAGAGTCAACACAGACTTTGACTACATCAAGGTAACTTACCTTACCTTGAGAATACTCTGCTGCTGTTGTGTTTTCTCTCTCAATTTCATTACCTTTAATTGTGGGCATTTGAAACCTGAAGAAAGAAAAACACAGATGATCAAGACATGAATCACTTAAGCACTCCTGGATTTTAGGAGTTCATAGACCATCACTCAAATGAAAAAACACAGTAAACAAATCTGACATTTCAGAGCAACCCTTCCACATTTGTGAAACTTGCTGCTTGCTCAGGCAACCATGATGTGTTTGTGCATCACATACAGCACCACAGGAGCAGGCAGAGGAGAAATCCAAGCACAGTCAAGAATAGCAGAACTTCCTCAATGTTGTGCTCCCAGGCAGTGACCAGCTTTACAGCACATCACCTTTCCTGCTCCTGTGGGGTAGCATCCCATCACAAATGCTGAGAAAGATAATTCACCTGGCAGTTTGTGTTTCTGCAGGGACAGATTTGTAATAATTCAACAAACAGCTTTTGTTTTCAACAAAACAGCTCAAAGCCCTTACTGAAAATGTGGCAAATGGAAGACATACATGGATTTCACCAAGGAAAGCGTGTACGCATGAAAGATGATCATGTCTACTGAAGAGTACCTTTAAAAGAACAGAGATCATGCAACTTCACCACAACAACGAGAGACATCATGCTGAGTGTTCAGGACAAGTAATAAAACACGATACCACCAGTTTTTATCATTCAATTCAACATTTAAGTCAAAACTCTTGCAAGGCTTACAGGTGGTAGTGTCCCTCCTTCGCTTGCTTCCTACCACCACTTAGGAGCTCATCTGCTTTGAAAATGAGTAAGCAGGTCCTGCCTGTGGAGCACTTCATCCCATCCTAAAGGCTTCATCAGTTTGGGCAACTGAAGGCGGTTTGCTGCCAGCTCAAGGGAGGGAGCCAGGCAGGGCAGAAGTACAGACTACACAGAGCAGGGATCTGTGGAAGTACTGAGATACAAACTTTACTGTGACTTGACATGAAGCGTTTTTAAAATCATGAGACCTCCATGGTAACAATACAACAGCCATCACAAATTCTCTTAAATACGTACTGGGAATGTGCACTGAAAAGAATCTGGGAACTGTGCCTCAAACTATTAAGGATTCAGGTGAAATTTTATTCTTACAGTTCAGAAGATTTCAAATGCTACTTTCCAGTAAAACCTTATGTCAAGAATACCAACCAACTGCTTGCTTTAATACAGAATTTCAGTTACTGAAGAAACACAGTTGTAGGGGAAAAAAAAAAAAAAAAAACGAAAAAAAGTTCTACCGGAGTCTTCTGTCGGAGGAATACATACACAGGATATACATAAGAAGATCCTAAATTACTCAGACAGCATACACAAAGTAAGAGCATTGCATATAGTTGCACATAGTACCACCTTCCCTCAGGCTTCTCTTCGCCTAGCAGGCACATTCCTTTATTTTTCCTTCCCTAACCCCAACTTCTACGTCTTTTCCTCCATAGCCCCACTGTCACTCCTGCAACACACTGCACGGACCTCTTCTTGTTGATTCCCTCCTCCTTCCATCCTTCACAACATTACTTTTTTCTTTTTCAAACCACCAGAGCCCTCCTAACATCTTCAACCCCCTCCTTTGCCTATTCACCATCCAGTTGCACAGACAGTTACAAGAAGCTTTGACATCCGCAGCTATACAGAAAGACACCGGTTCTGGAAGAAGGAGCAGAAACATTGGTGGGAACTTCAAACTACAGAACACACGTAAGTCCAGCCTCAAGTCATCAACATCTAAGCAGCACTGGACAGAACCAGCAAAGGGCTGACTAGAAGCACACACTCTTCCAGCAGTATCGTAAAGTACTGAATGTTAAACCCACTGCTCAAGCAAAAAGTCTGACAAACTGATTTTTTCAAACTGTTTGAAATTTAACAACATATGAGTAGTAAACCATTAACCTTAACACTGTGTGGGTTAAGTCTCAAGGCTTTTCTTCTCTTTGACAGACCTTGTTTTCACAGTCTTTCTTCTTAGCTCGGTTTCATTGTCCATATGCTGACAAGAGAAGGAGACAAACAATTAGTATAAGGAAAGAAATATTCAAAATGCTAATGCAACAGGCCAACCAAAGAAAAGCAGCAACTCCTCCTGAGACCTCCCATTGGACAAGGCTGCCTGTAACCATCCTGCTAAGCTTAACAACTCAGTTACTCCACCCAGCCATCACCACCAGGAGAGCTCACACACAGAAGGTTGTACTAGTCTGCACCTGCTTCAAGTCCTACACACTTTCCCATATTTTCACCTTAGTTGACAATAACCAGCTACAGTTGCATTTTTTCCAACCACTATTCCCTCCCTCACATCTTGAAAAACATGCTCCTCTCAGATTTTAAAGTTCCAAAAGGTATGACTTTTTTTTTTTTCCTAATTAAAAAGAAATGCCATTAGGTGGACTTACAGACTGTTAAACTTCAACACCAATTTCAACTTCTGTAATACAAAGTTACAGAATTTAATCACTCTGTAATATAATGATGAAGCTGTAAATGAATGAAACTTTTATCCAGCATCCACCACATGCCTTCTGCTGTCATTAAATACACTGAACTTTTGTGCCCTGTATGGTATATAGTTTTAGGGCAAGAAAAAACTAGATCCAACAGAAAATCTAGGCAATGAAACTGATGCCTCGCAGTGTACCATGCTCTTAAGAACAGCAGATACCACTCACTGACTCTGAACTAAGTAACCAAACAACAATCTCACACTAAGCAACTGTCCATCACAGAAAAGAATTAGCCCACATATGTAATTTTAAATTATCAGGTATGTAAAGGTCAAAGCCTTTCACTGCACTCCTTGGAAGAAACACTAATGTTATTCTCAAACATACATTGTAAAGTGTAAACGTTAATATAGTTCACCAGTAAATACTAAGAATGACTAGTAAAAGGTATCAAAACATGATCTGAATGCAATGCTTAAAAGCATTATGCCCAGATTTCACACCGCTGTCTAAAATGCTGGCTCTCCAGCAGCTTGCTTTCTGTCAGTTCTAGCCCCCACATCCTGTTCTGTACCCCATGAACTGTGATGGACTCTTAGCCAATGTGGGATTAAGTCTTTATACAAAGCTGGCTACAGAAAATGTTTACAATACTCAAGTACCTGATTATTCCGTCCATCTGTAAGGTGGAAAAATGAGCCAGCATGGATGTGTGCTTTGTCACAGAGTCAGAGTGATCATCTTCTGTCTGCTATGAAGAAACTCCTTCAGTCTATGTATTCAATACAACGTTCAGGAATAAAGCATTAAAATTGTCAAAAAATCAAAACTTTTAAGATTTTTTTGAATGCTATGGCCTCCTCCTTTGATTGCTGGGCATAAAAAAAAAGTATAAACAAAAAACAGATCAACAGGTTCATGTCTGCATCATTTCTGGGTTTTAGTACAAAACCTATGAATTTACTGACTAAAAGGCCACCGGAAATCCTTGATGAAGAATTAATTTAATATCATACTCTTTTCTTTAAGCTTTTAATCTACTACTGATGTCATAATTCAAGTATTCTAAAAAGAGAAGGAAATTATGATAGTGGTATTTTTAGTATTGTATTTTGCAAGCTGTTCTTATTACACAGATAAAAAGACAAAACCTACCTGGCTTTTCCCCACATATGTGAGAAGTTTTATGTTCTCTTTACTTAAAGGAAAAAATGTCAAAGGAATGCATCACATTTGACAATTATCTCAGAAATAAGCACAAACACATTACCTGTAACTTTAAAGAGTTAGTCAAATAAAACCCCAATACTTTCCCCTCAATAGTCTGATAAATATACCTCAAGTAACCTGTTTACTTGAAATGTTATTACATATTAATTAGTGAATAATATAATCAAAAATATAATGCAAATTTACACAGCATTAGACTTTCCTAAACAGCATAAATGAAAAGCAAACTCCAAAAAATTTGGAGTGCAAGAGATGCGTTTTATTGTATGCCCGTTACGATGAGTAACACATTTAGAAATAATAATCCCACATAACAGTGACAATCTTATTTTACAGCGTGTACATAATTTTTTACAGCCACATAAAACACGTATTTTTCTAAGAGATTTCCCAAATTTAACTTTCTGAAGTTTAGAAATATAAAAAAAATTTATTCTCAAGGAACTGATTCTCATCTGGTGCAAAAACAAAATATGAACATTATCTGAAACACAAAGCCACAATATAGCATGAAGTTACAATTTATCATGTGAACAGCTGTGTGCAAACATGAAGCAACTAAAAAAGTAAAAAATACACATTATATGCATAACATTTATGAACAGGTTTTTCATTAAATAGCCCTAGACCAGCTTGTTATATTAAGCGCCATTTGATTTGCAGCATGCTAACACAAAGCATTGTTTAAAGGGATGCATATTTTAAATGTATACACTGTAAACTGAAGATCCACCTCCAAACTCTAGTGGCAGCGTATTTTTCTGGTTAAATACTGCATATATACTTTTCTTACAGATTGAAAATGCATGTTTATAGTATGGTATAGATTTTTTTTAAAGATTTGATCAAAAGGTGCAATTTTATGTCTGTGTTGAAAATCTCCTATGAGGAGGTAGGACAATAATAGTCATACCTGTTAAGAACACTGCCCTACAGAACTTCTAAGTACTTTGAATTTTAATTAAAAAACCCCTACATTTTTCAACTTTGTTTTTAATCTTTTTAGAGAAGATTTTAAAGTAGCAAGAAAAGAAATCAGTGTTGAGTCACAACACTATGAGCTGCATCCATTTTATCCTTAAAAAAAAGTCAAATTCAAAGTTAATTTTGTTATATGTGCCATACTGAACAACATTCAACTGTAGTTTCAGATAAAAAAGGGAAATTATATACATACACATCTTTAACCCTAGCACCAGAACACCACCTTTGAGATCATAACATAATGCTATATTTTCAACGTCATATCCTGCAATAAAATAGGTTAGCAGCTTTGAAAACAATTAAAAAATTACTTGTTGGACCTAAACTAATAAAGGAAACAGAAAAGTTTCCCAATGAAATGTTGGAAAAAAAAAAAGGACACACCCCCCCACCCCTGATTTGACCAGTTCTGGAATTTACTTTCCAGGCACGATTTAAAAGCATTATGATCAAGTGACTGACTAATACTCTCCTTTCAAAACTGCACAAGAAGTTAAGACTCAGTTGCCTTTGCAAACAATTTGTAGATAACCCCACCATATATCTGAACTGTTTTCATATTGGAGACAAGTGCTGTTCCTGACAAAATGGATAACACAATCATCTTGGTTTTGTCTTCTATAGCTTAACAATGTGTAATACTATTAATTTGAAGACATTCATCCATCTTTCTGCAAATTTAAGACATTCATCCATCCTTCTTCATTCTATAGTGCTCTTTAGGTTCTGATAAGCAACAATCATAGGGCTATGATATCCCCTGTCAACCCTAATACTTTTAAGACTTTTAATACAAAGAATGTAAAGTTATGATTTAATATCAAGCTTTGAAACCAGGAGAAACAGTTCATGAGATTTTTTTTTTCCCCAATTAGCATATCACAGTTTCTAAATTGCTTCCTTCTTGAGATCATATATTACATTATGGCCTCTTTGTGGTGCCTCATTATATGCTGATTTTTTTCAGATGGTCTACGGAATCCCTTTTTGCAATACTCACACCTATGTGGATAGTCTTTTGTGTGTATTGATATTACGTGCCGTTTAAAGCCCGATGCATCCGTAGTGCTATATTCACAATACTGGCATTGATACACTTTTCTTCCACTGTGGGTCTTCATGTGCTTCTTAAGTTCATTTTGCTGCCTAAATCCTCTTTTACATCTTTTGCATTTAAAAGGCAGGTCCTTGGTGTGAACTGAGAGGATATGCCCACTAAGTACAAAAGGATCTGATGTTTTAAAGTCACAGTGCCTACACTGATGTATCTTTTTACCTTTATGGGTTTCACTATGCTTTTTGAGCTCAGATGGACGATGGAAACCTTTTTCACATACCTCGCATTTGTGGGGAAAATCCTTTGTGTGAACTGAAATAATGTGTCGCTTCAGGTCACTTGAATTGGTGCTCTTATGGTCACAATGTGGACACTGATGAGTCTTATGCCCTTGAAATAATTCTGTGTGCTGCTGCAGTTCTTTTTCATCTGTAAATGCCTGGGGACAGTGCTCACATTTAAATGGCAAATCAGTCCCATGTTTGGTTTTGATGTGAGTTTTCAGATTAGACTGATCAGCACACCTGAAGACACAGTGCTGACACTGGTATGGCTTTTCCCCAGTGTGGGTCCTCATATGCTTTTTCAGCTCTGATGGGTGGCGGAATCCTTTCCCACACTCCACACATACGTGAGGGAAGTTCTTACTATGAACTGCGAGCAGATGTCTATTGAGTAGTCCCTGCTCTGCAGTTTCATAGTCACAATATTTGCACTTGTGTAGCTTAGGCTCCTTGTCCCTCAGTATTAGTTTATTAGAACTCAACGGGCTTGCTTCTCTGTATCTTCTTGTATATTCTGTAAACTCATGGGTTTTATCAACTTTATTTATAAGTTTATGGCTTTCCAGATGATTGTGGAAACTTACTTTTTTGTTAGTTGTAAAGTCACAGTCTGTACATTGGTATTTCTTCTTAATCATATGATCTGGATGATTCTTCATATGCCTTTTCAAGAATCCTCTGGATTTAAATTTTTTCCCACAAATATGACAAGGGTAAACTGTTAAGGGCTGTCCATCAGGACCTATTATAACAGCTGTTTTTAAACAAACAAAAACAAGTTATGAAGGAAACACATTTACTGATTAAAAAGTTTTAAATCAGCCAACTGCTGTTCAGATTCATGCACTTACACTTGCAGCAGAGAATGGTTCAGTAGTTTAAAAACAACCAATCCACAGCACCTATAGTTTATACAGTTTTGTTTTAGAAACTGCTCAAACAGATCAGTAATATCGTTATGTGCAGTGAATATATCCATGATTACTTTTTAATAGCTTAAAAAATTCACATGAACTGCATCAGCCCTAAGTGTACTGACTCTGAATAGAAAAAACTATTACATTTTCTATGCACAGAATTGGAGGGGGGAAGGACACAGGAAATACGCAAATCATCATTTCTATTTTTTACTTCTGCACCAGCTTAAAAAAAAAAAAAAAATAGTACAGGAGTAAGTGCCACTCCATGACAATACGCATAACCATACAGTGTTTACCTGTTTGCCATTGCCTGGCCTCTCCTCTCCTCCTTTTCTTGGTTTTTTGTTTTAGCACTCTATTAGTGCTAATGCTATCACAAATCTGCAGGTATTGTGTTGCATTACCGTTTTTGTTTTCTAATCGTGTATCCAAGTTATTTCCTAGAAACAAAAATTAGACACCATAAAAAACCTTAAACAACTTTTTTCTTTGGGACTGATGACTGGAATTGCACAGCAGCACATTTACATTAAAAAAAAAAAAAAAAATTACCCATTCCTCTACAATGATCACATATAAAAAAGAGTGCCAATATAAAGCACTATCTGTCCTTGCCAACAAAAATCAAGAATATAATTGTGTAAACATTAATCTTAAAATACATTCCTTGATTTCTCATGCTTCTCAAGACATAAATTTCTTATGAGTTATGTTGGTTGTTTCCTTTTATTTAACTTGGTTTTACTTAACAACTGCATTATCTCTTTCCTGACTACAAAACTGCATTTAAAAAATCTGGCAGATCCAACCTCCCCACCCACTCTGAAGGCCTACAATACATCTAGAATTGTTTTAATTTCAAAATAGTAGAGAAAGACTCTAAAGTCCTTCAATATACACATTATGGATATTTTTTTGCATTCACTGATTAGGAGAACTGACACAAAAATATACGTATTTCCAAAGACAGCAAGTTAATTTTAATGCTGTGCCAAGCACAGTTACATGTTCTTACCTGCCGCTTGACCATCTTCGTATCTTCTGGGTAGCCTCCTTTCATCTCCTGCAGAAAACAGTATTTTAGTCATTATAAATTAAAATTATTTTTAAAGACAATGGCTTTAAGTCTGATAATGAGAGAAAACTAACCTAGCTAGTAACAGCTTAACTCTATCCAAACCAAGATGTGCAGTTCACAGTCAGATCAGTAATTTGGAATGATGAACCCCAGGAAATAAAATCACATCTTTGTGAATAGTTAATATCCACTAAAGCTGTGTTTGCATGCTTACCATGCTGACTGTCTTTCCTGTTTTTCATAATTAAAATGCTTCTTTCTGCAAACTTTTAACTTCATATACCTATCCAGAAATGAGGTTATCTGAAACCCACAAATTGTTCTTGAGATCGAAGTACTTTATCTCTCTGGGGTTGAACTAGACAAAAGACCTTCAACTTATCACCCACTCAGCACTCATCTATATGAGGCACTACAAAGTTCTGCGAGACACAGAAGCAATACCTTATGAGTATATTCCTCATTTTGGATTGCAAGTGTTTACTGCTATATGCCAAGGCTCTGTGGTTCTAAAATACTTTATCAGCCCAATTACTGTGCTCAGAACTATGACACCAATGAATTTTAACTAACTTGCTTACTTAATTACAACATATACCATGGATGACCTGATACCCTTTCAATATACATTTAACATGCCAAAATCTATGAAAAGAATAGGAAATAAAAGAATATTCAGAATTTGCAATATATCCTGATAAGATACTTCTATTATTTGAAGCATTGTGGAAGAGAGCAAATTACCTTTTCTCTTTCTGTTTCTAACCTGAAGGACTAATAGGCTTAAAACAGGCATGTAAACTGAAATTATTAGGAACATGTTTACACGTTTATTCCTACTATTCCCTTTTTAAAATATTTTCCCCTTCCTCCTAGCTAATGTAAAATACTAAAGGCTATTCTTATTTTTGTAAGATCTTCAAGTCAACTTATGCAACCATTAAAAACCATGCGTTCTGTACATCTGAGCTGGAATCAAGAACAGTATAAAAATTCTCCTAACAGCTTTCCTTTCTACCTCTTAAAACTCAAAATATAGCATTCCATTCATTGTATGCAAGACAATCAACTACTGAAGTAATCAGTAAATGTTTGTCAGGCCAGTATTGGAAATAAAACCACCAATGTAAAAATGAAATTGTCTTCTTCATACTGAACTGCAAAAAACCTAAGGACCTTATGTGTAAAAGGTCATGAATAATGTAAAAATAATTTTTCACACACTTAATCAACTCCACTAACTGACACTGATAAAAGATCAGAAGAAGCTGTTTCCAAACCTCTAGAGAAAGGTGAGATTATCATATTTGCACAGAGATTCTGGAAGCTAGATGAAGGAGAAAATAATGGAAGGGATTTTCAGCAAATAAGCATACAGATTCCTACCGTAAGCAGCAGCCCAAGCAACAGGGACAAAAGTTTTATTCACGCCAGAGTCTTCAAGCTGTGTGTCAGGAAGTGATGTAGCTTCTTCTTCACCTACAATAACTTCCATATAAACTTCATCTGCTATTTCAGCACAGCCTGGATTAAAGGAGAAGAAAAATCTTTAATTTTATTCTGCTCATCCTAATTTTTCCTTCATTTAATCTGCTCTCACTCTGATTGATACCCGTTATAAATTACTTTTCTTCCTTTGGCATTTAGAACAACCCCTTCCCTTAGGGGATCACTGTTTATTCAGACATTCCTTAAAGACAGAAAACATGTATCAATAAATGTAAATCCAAAACAAATACCAACATAAATTCAAGTATACAAACTTATAAAATTGTAACTGATGACATTTATTTGCCAGTCTGCCAGAAAGCTGATTAAACAAGGCAATTCACAGTAGGAAAACAGAAAAATGAGAAATTTGACTAACCTCGTGAACTTCATCCATGGACATGTTAAATTTAATATAAATAATGAAATGATTGCAAACAATATGCACAAAGTGCATTTATCCACATCACTTTAAAATAATTATAGCCTGGCTTTTTATTTTTAGGGAAGATGAGCTTAGTTTTCTACTACTTCAGGCTGAAGAATCCTTCAGAAAAATTAAAAAAGTCCTTGAGAATGATGTTTATATTGTTGTACAATACAGCATGAGAAACAAAAATGTTTCTTATTATGCTTACTAATATCTTCATCTTCCTGAGAAGAGTCCTTAACAGCCATGTAAACCATTTTTTCTCGCTGCATTCTACCAACACCTCCTTGTTCAATTACTCCAGCTACAGAATGTCCATTGTGAAAGTCACTCTCTGTGACAATTTCTGTCCCACCTTTAACAGAAAGAAGATGAACAAATTAAGTAAGTGCAAACAAAGCCACTGTTAAGATAAACTTTAGATCTAAGTATTTTTTTCTTATTTACAAGAAAGCTATTTAATAAAACTCCAACTAAATGTTTTTACATCCACGTCTGTCATAACATCATACAAGTCTGATACTTTGGAGCAGACAGGGAAAGAGGTCTCTCATTTTGTTCTGTTAAATTCAAGACTGAACAACCACCAAATCCCTGGAGACAACACAATCTTAAGAGTAACAGTCGCAAAGAAGGAAATGAGAACAACTGCCTACACGGCCAGCTCAGGGTGACTAACAAGCTTTGGCCCACTGACTGACTTGAACAGAGGCAGAAGATCCAACCTGGAACTTGATACTGATGCTTGAGTCAGAAAGAGGTAGCAGATAAATATTGATGCTCGGTCTTCCATGCATCTCAGGGACTGAACAGTGAGTACAGAAGCTGCAGGCTACAGCAGAACAAGCTAACACCTGGTATGCCAAGCGTCCTCGCTTGCTACCTACAAATGGTCCTGATGGAACACACTCAGCTAGGTGGCCAAGTCCAAATCAAATGCAGTGACTCATTACTCCCTGTAAGTGTTCTGTAAACTGAAGACTTTGCCAAACATTCTCCTTCTAACCAAAACGAAGCAGCTCTCCCTCTGCAATCAAAATGTGGAGTTTCAGTATTCTCAAGCTAGATGAAAACTGATATAATATAAAAATCACTGGGATGGGTGATGTCTCTCTGGACAAAATGGCACATGGTCTTCACAAGCTCTTTTTCATACTTGAAAGGAATTAAGGGTCAAATACTGAAAATCCCAGGGCCTTACAGAAATACTCACTAACCCTCAGCCAAATCAGATACTGTCCATTCCAAACAGGATAGCAAAATACGTAAAAGTTACTTTGGCAATCATGTGAAGGACTTGATTAAAAGGCTCCAAATTCTACACTGTATCATCCTGTAAAAGACACCAAGCAACTCGTAAGACACTCTTAACTAATTCTTAGTCTACTCTGAGAAAGAGAAAAGCAAAGACAACTGCCCTATTAGCTAGCAGTCTGATCATCGCTGGAGCAATCCTTTTCTGCCATTAACTTGAGCTGAAAAGATGACCTGTTTCTCAGAGAAAAGAAAAAAGCATCATACAGCTAAAAATCTCCTGAAGTAGTTCAAGTTACCAGAAAAACAGCATCAGGATTGTTACTAATTGGAGGACTTTGCTGATCTAATCCAGCAAAGTTCTGTCTAAAGTTCGAGATTTTTCACAGCATAGCCAGGCCAATGCTACTGATCTATGGGAGATGAACTCCCTTCTCCACTCCAGGAAGAACAGACTGGGCTGATTTGTGCTATGAATGGCTCTGGGGCTTCAGACCAGATACGTTCCAGGGAGGCAGAGTTTCAGTACCTAAATGTGTGTATGGGTTATAACAAAGGGCAAAGTGGAATGAGCCAGAGGTTTCAGCTCTGAGAACAACTCTAATGGGGACTCTGCTTTTACGAGTTACAAAGAACAGAACATGGCTTAGCTGTATGTCCACTTGCAAAGCAGCTGGAAGTGCTGGATCTATCTTTTGCAAAAGACAACTGCAGAGCCATTCTGAGTTTCTTGGTTAGGGCTGGAAATTAGTGTATGCCTAAAGCCCCAGCATTCTTCCCCTCTCTCTGCATCAAGGCCACCAGACTGTTCAATGAGAGGACTCTACTCTAGAGGCTTTTCTGTGCTGACACACAGTCTTGCAACATCAGAGAAAAGCAGCAGCTGAAAAACAGCTGCAGACACCCAAACACTTGTACATTTGGGCTTTGGTTGCCTGAAAATAAATACTGTTAATCAAAAAAGAACTTTAGACTAATACACATTCATTATTTACTGTTTATGGGCAGCCTCCACAAATGTCATATTCTACAAAATGTTCCAGTCAATGTCAATGGATTACATGAAATTAAGAACAACAAACAAGAAGATCTCGAAATACTTCATACCATTGGAAGAATACATAGAATCTAAAAGGTACCTATTTCGACATCATCTTCAGCTTCAGCTTTAAATATGTACACTTTGATAACTTCTGAACCAAAACCGTCATCTTTAGCAACATCATCATTTGTCACGTCGGTACTGATTTTCAAGGGAGTGCTTCCTATATGGTCCAATTTTTCTCCAACATCATCCACTGTAAAGATAAGAGAATAATTATGAGGTTCAAACACATCTGTTAAGTCAAAGTAATCAGTAACACGATTTTCTCCACTATTATCCCCATGCACAGTAAAGGTTTGTATTCATAAATGGCCTTTACAAAACAGTTCATCTCAAGAGACTTAAAAGAGATTTCAGAAGTTCAGTACTCATTTTACTGCAACTCAGGAAACACAGCAAGAATTACAGAATGAAGAACACAAGAGGGAGCTTGTCATCAAAAAGCAAGTTACGTCTGAAACTATTATGCTTCAAAAGCAAAAATGTATCAATAAGTAAAATCAAACATCTATCCAAAATTGCTGAAAAATAACCCAGAATTGCCTGCAACAGTCTGAGAGTCCCCCAAAGTTTCACTACTCTAAGATACAGGTGACTAAAATTTAGTAGCTGAAACTCTTATGAATAGCAATGACTTGGAGTATATTCCCAGTGAAAGAAGTGTGCATCAAAAATCTGACTACATCTTTACCCTAAAAGAAATTATGATTTTATCCACTTTATCACTTGAAAACATATAAATTATGAAGATCATTGTATAATATACACCTGACTGAAAGATGCAGTGACAACAAATTAAAATACTACTAGCTGAAATGGACTTCTCATTCTTTATATATGCAACTTAGTTACTCTGTTTGGTCTATATATTCAAAATGCTCATTTTATTTATACAACAAAAATTACATGCAAACTATTTAAAGTGTAGAAGTAACACTATTTTGGTAAAAAGGGTATTCACATAGATATCCATATATATACCCCAAATGGCCAACACGAATGCCACTGAACTAAGCATCTTCTTGACAAATGTACTGCCAACACACTTCTCTGAGCAGAGAAAATTAGCTCCTGTGCAGACAGTCAGCACAAACCTATGCAATGCTTAGCACCAACTAGAAGTCCTCTAAATAGAGAAGAATTCCACAAAATGTAAACAAAATTCAAATTAAATACATTCCAGGGAAATAGCAATTTACTGCATACATAACATTAAAGTATGTGCATATTAGGTTAAAAAATAAATAAATCACTAAAATTAAAGTGACAGTAGTATTTCACAACTAAGAATAGAACCCACTCAATGTGGACACTGGTTCCAATACTGAGGAAAGGACGGCTCACCTCGGGACAGCTGCAGTGGTTCCCAGTCCCCCTCTAAGATTCCTGCCCTCAGTGCAGTGGTGAGAGCTCCTGAAGAGCTGCTTTAAACTACTTCAGGCTACAGCCTGCTGTACTGAGGTAAACTGGAGTCAGTTTAAGCTTAATACTCCACGCAGTCATGCAAGGTGGTTCAGAACCTTCTAGAAAAAGGAGCAGATGCCTCTCCTGCAGCAGGGAGGGAATCCACCACAGCAATCCCAAACTAAGCTCTTCCAACTCAGACAGGATTCCATGGGAACACCTATCCAACTACCACCATTTTTCATCCCCACATTGAGGAACCTTATTCTATTTCACAAATCCTGGACTGTATCTGAAGAGTAGGGAAGTTATTGAGGACAGAACTAGGTATAATGCAGGTAAGTATAAGTATTAGACTTAATAACCTCTGAAAATTATACATTTTTATGAAAACTAAACAGAAAACATTAAAAAAATCGCTATGTTTCATCTGTTTCTTTTTGTAAATAAAGATTCATTGCTGAAAAAATATCAAACTTGGATCAGTAGGAAAAAAGTAAAAATTTCCTCAGGAAAAGTTTTTGTTTTTTAATAAAAACCATTCTAAATCTCTATTAAAATTAATGCCAGCAACATCAACGCCTTAATCTGCTAGAACCTGACACGTACTGCATGGCCTTCGTGTTACCTTGCACAACAACAAGAACAGTAAGAGTATGAACACCACAGACAACAAAGCCACAACAGAGAACCTGGCATATTCCTCTGACACTTAAGTTGACCAGAATCAGGTTGCTAACACATCTTTATATCCAGTATGGGAGTGTTACTGCATCTGCAGTATTTTTTATGATGCCAGAATGGAGTTACTAGAGGAGACGAGACACTTATCTTGGAAGAAGTATTTCCATGCATTCACTATGTTTTAATTTATTAAAGACCATTTTCTTTTCTGCATGGCTTTTAACATTTATAAAAGCTTCTTATTCACATGATTCCAAATTAGAAACATACATTTAATTTTAGTACAATGAACATTTCCACTGCACATGAGCCTCTGAAGGACAGGAGTTAACTAACAGCACAAGGCAGGAGTGACTATATATATAGCTGTATGACTAGACATGCTGCCAAAATGCAGAAAGACTATTTAAAGATTGGGTGGAAGAAATCACTAATTGTAAGCTGTTACCGTAATTTTAGAATTGGTAGGTGGTAGTAAAGTTATCTTCAAATCTGCAACTCAAGCAACACCAACTTTGTCTGAACTCATAAATTTTATAAACATAATGCATTATCAGTTTAACATAGAAGATAAGTATTTCCATACAGGAAGGTTATTTAATAACAGCAATTTCCTACCGAATATTGGAGTAATCACATATATGTGAAAAGAAGTTTTCTTTATGGCAAAAATTTCCAACTATTAACTAATATTGGGTGACAATAACTATACACCACTATGCATCTGGTGAAATAGCATAAGAAAAAAACAATTTTATATAGTTGCTTACCAGGACATCAATTGTAATACCACAAAGATTACATAAGGGAAAAAAAAAATGAGGAATTTTACAATTTTTATAAGAATAAATATTTTCAGCCAAAAATATAGAGTAAAATACATGACTATAGCATGTATGCCCATATGCCGTGTTTTACTATTTCAAGTAAAGCCCCCAAATCTTCAACATCCTTTAAAAAACAAGGAGCCCTATCTTTGAAGGGGGCAAACTTACAACATGATTTTTAAAAATCATCAACCATCCCATGTATTTTCAAAGATCTTCAGACTCTACAATTTAAGCTGCACTAATGGAAACATATCAGGAAGCCTGTTGTATCCAGGGCCCCTGGAATCACTGTTCTAAAAAAAGCAAAAGTGTAATATAACAAAATTTGAAAAATATAAACCGAACCGAGAAAATTATACTGATATAGACTGTTGTTTGTAAGATGTTGCCTTTTGTTTCAAATACCTCAACAACAAAAGACAATGAATCGGCAGTTGCTATTGCTTAAATTACTGTCTTATATGAAGTAAATTTTACAGTTCCAATCTATCTTTAAACACATTTAGATAAGGGGAAAACAATCAACACAGCAGGATATGTAATCTTCGTCAAGTTCCAAAAAATTATGATTTTTTTAAAAAAGATTGTAAAAATACTCTATTGTCTAAGTAATAGGACTTAAATCACAGCTAACCCATCAGCGCTAAATCATGTGATGACTTTTCCCAGTGATAGTTCTCAGAAACAGGAATGCTTACTTTATGTCAATGGAATATCAAAGTGTCTTCCAGATCTGACTCATCCACCAGAAGCACTACATATTATTATCTTGTCACTTAAAATTAACTGAAAAAACACAACAGAGAACCTTCATAAATATATGCTGAATCCTCCTGAATAAACAAGGTTTAAAGGAAAACTCAGCACACTTGCAATTTTGAACTTACCTTACTTCGCTGTTTTCAGGTGTGTGATGTCCAGATTCACCGTGGATTGCCAGCTCCCAATTCATGTGATGCCTCAGCATGCACTACGCTGGTGATATCACACCCACCATAGGAGCCCATAGGGATAACACGAGGGCAAGATAAGTCCCGTGGTTTTACAATTTTCCATATTTTTCTAATGTCTGATATACTTATTTTATATCCCATAGGTTACAATATAGGAGTATTAATATTAAAATGTCTAGCAAATTATGTAACACTGTACTGTAATATACTAAAAAGGAGGTGGTGGTGGAACAGTACCTTACCCCTAAAGGCCAGCTCCAGTGTTGTTCTTTGGTGGGTATGAGGTCACCAGCTTAGTGCATGCAGGGCCAACACACGGATCGGGAGCTGGCAATCCGCTGTGGGTCTGAATATCGCAAACCTGAAAAACAAAAAAGGGTACGCTTTAAGCTACATGTGTGCTAACTCCTCCCTGGCAAAACGGGATGTACTACTCATCATTTTCCCATCTCAGTATGAGATGGATTGGGTTCATGATCACACCATATGCATTCATTTTGTATTAATTTCCTTTTTATCAAGTCCCCTCCAAACAGGTATTCTGGAGATTTAAAACAAGGGATCATGCATATCCTACCGCATAGGTTATGAATGTATCAAAAAAAGATTTTTAAATCTTATGCTTATAAGGCTGATTTTAAAAAGCTGAATTCATCTGCATCTAGATAGCAGAGCGGTGATAATCCTCTAGTGAAAATTTCCAATTACAAAATCATATGCAGCTAGTTTACAGAACTATCAAGACAAACTTATTACTTTCCAAACAGTATTTACACAAAAATATAATTACCAATAGCATATAAAATATCTACATGGATATCATCTTATAATAGTGAAAAATCACCTTTCAGTATATTTAATCTGTAACTTCCAACAAAAGAGTAGGATAAGTTAAAATTCCACGCTGAGCTCAGCTTCACACCCTAAAATGTAGTATTTTACAAGTTCCCAAAACGTGTTCCACAGAACAGTTGGTGGTATTCCCTAAGGGCATTATCTGTCATTTTATGTAAAGTCTCCCCTTTTTAGATGCTAAATTTTATTAAAAGACAGCTAAGTATTTTCAGATTCTTTAAAACTACCATTTTGATGTGATTTACATTAAAGAAAAGTTCAACAGTCCTATATATACACACTGAAATAGCTTAAAATTAACCTTCTACAATATTTACTGAACATTTGACAATTTAAAGATGTAAGTAAATAAAAAGTTTTAAACTGCTCAATAAACTGAGGAATTTATCTATTATTCTACACAACAGATTATCTTCATAAACATAACAAATTCAAGGCTAATTTAAAAACATTGAAAAAAAAAAAAAACAAAACAAAAATGAACAACTGTGTAAGATTTTTGCTGAGAAAAAAATCAATAGTAGATACTTTGTAGGGTCAAGCTGGCATACACAGCATAATACAGCCTGAAAACTTAGCAGAGGCAAGACACCTCATCTTTATCAACGATCTGGACGAGGGGATCGAGTGCACCCTCAGTCATTTTGCAGATGACACCCAGCTGGGCGGGAGTGTTGATCTGCCTGAGGGCAGGAAGGTTCTACAGAGGGATCTGGACAGGCTGGAGCGGGGGCCGAGCCCAATTGTGTGAGGCTCAACAGGGCTCAGGGCCGGGTCCGGCACTTGGGTCACACCAACCCCACGCAGCGCTACAGGCCTGGGGCAGTGGCTGGAAAGCTGCCTGGTGGGAAAGGACCCGGGGGTGCTGGTCAGCAGCCGGCTGAATGTGAGCCGGCGGTGTGCCCAGGGGGCCAAGGAGGCCGGTGGCATCCTGGCTTGTATCAGCAGTAGTGTGGCCAGCAGGACCAGGGGAGCGATCATCCCCCTGTACTCGGCCCTGGGGAGGCCGCAAGTCTTGGGCCCCTTGCTACAAGACACCGAGGTGCTGGAGCGTGTCCAGAGAAGGGCAACAACGCTGGTGAAGGGTCCGGAGCACAAGTGCTGTGAGGAGCGGCTGAGGGAACCGGGGTTGTTGAGCCTGGACAGAAGGAGGCTCAAGGGAGCCCTTATTGCCCTCTAGAAGTGCCTGAAAGGAGGTTCTAGCGAGGTGGGGGTCAGTCTCTTCTCCCAGGTAACAACAAGCGCCAGGACAAGAGGAAACCACCTTAAGTTGTACCAGAGGAGGTTTAGATTGAATATTGGGAAAAATTTCTTCACCTAAAGGGTTGTCAAGCACTGGAACAGGCTGCCCAGGGAAGGGGTTGAGTCACCACCCCTAAGTATTTAAAAGATGTGCAGACATGGCGCTTAGGGACATGGTTTAGTGGCGGACTTGGCAGTGCTAGGTAACGGTTGGACTCAGTGGTCTTAAAGGTCTTTTCCAATCTAAACCAGTCTATGAATCAATGACTGCTTTAATTTATCTAAAATGATTACTTAAAACAAAATTCTAGATAATAATGTAGCTTATTCAGGCATATCACAATTATACATATATAAAAATCTTGCTGAAAACTAGGTCTCAAACTGTCTTTGACACATTGTAAAAGCCATTGGTATCCTTGAGTACACCTGAAAAAATGACAAATGTATCAGACACAGCTGGGGTCATGAGGTAACTGTTACTGAAAGGTTAAGATGCTCTGGTCTAAGTGCAGTGATCATCATTACCAATCACACTTGTCTGTCTTAGAAGGAATTCCGAAGATGACTTTACTTACAATTACAAAGGTGCAGTTGGAAATACCACAGTTACAGAATACAACTCATCGTAAGTACTCTGTCAGAAAGGAGGAATTTTTCCAATGAAATAACTGACTGCAAAAATGGTGTTCCTTTATTTATAAACACACAGGAATTTTTCTGGTTTAGGTCTAATTTGCTTTTAGACTGAGTTTTTTTTGGTTCTTTTTCCACAAAACCATTTTTGACTTCTATTAGTGACATATGGCATTACAATAATGATAGAATGATTAAAAAAAATCATTGCTGTCCACCTTACACTGAACAAAAAATAAATACTAAAAATACATTTTGCATAAGGGACATAAATGCTATGCAATATTGAAGTTACGTTAATCACTAATCAGTCATGTCCCCATATTGAAATTTTTTAATGAAGGCAGCTTGCTGTGAACAGAATGACACTTTGACACACTTGGCATTGCCATTTTTTTTAACATATTGCTTCTGACTAAATAAAACCTGTTTTGACCTACTCACATTGCAATAACTAATTTGGAGAAGTCAAAAATCTAAAACAAACTATTATGTATTTTATCAAATTTGTGTAACAATAAAAACTGGTATCTTGAGTATAATTTAACCACTGAAGAAACATAATACACCTAAGGTCCTTTCAGTAGCTTTCACTCACCAAGTAGTATAGGACCATACAATTTCCTCAGAGTTGAATGCTGTGTGGAAACTGAAATGGGCAGCCACTTTCCAGTGCTAGAGAGCCAATCAATTAATGGACACAACCCTTAAGTTCAGTCCAGAACAGCACAACATACAATAAAATGTCTATTAAACCAAACAATATTTTGTGGACATGTAAGAGAAAACTTTACAAGTCAGATATTTTAAAAACCTATGTCTTTTCTGGATTCTACTGACTAAACCAAACACGTTCTTTTAACACGAATCTACGTAACATGGTAATATGCCTATGTGGGTTTTTTTTAAAAAAAGCATTATACTCAAAGTATGTGGAATATTTAACTTTCCAATGTGCTCTTCTTAATTTTCAGGAATATCTAGTTTCAGAAACATTCATTCACTCAGTGGCATGAACATCATTCTCCTTGCTGTATCAGTGATAATGGATTTTTCATCAAGAAAACCCAAATTCAGACACCAAGAATTAACTGGGCAACAGACTGTTATTTGAGAGTTCCAGTACAGAATGCAGCAAGAGTCCAGTTATAGTAACTTCTCCCCACCAGACCACTTCTGATAATCTCCTGTTTATATCTACCTTTGTTTAACTTACAAGATATCATTAAGTAGTCTTCAGATGTACTCTTGCCATCATCATCGTCTTCTGTTTTTATAGTCACTGTGGAGCCAGGAACAGTACCAGCTGCTTGAATGACTGCTTCAGAATCAGAGTTTGTTACAAGAACCTCTTCTGAAACCATTGTAGGTGAGTTGGCTCCTGACACAGGGTCTTGCACCACATGCTCCAAATGTCCATCAGGACCCGTAACAAGGTCAGCCACAAAAACCTGATCAGGAACTCTAACGGTTTCTGTTATTAGATCAGAAGTCAAAACATGATCACTGGTATCTAAAGCTTCTTCAATAGCAACATCAGCTTCCAGAACTGAATCGGGAACAATTACACCTTCTGTTACAACATCAGTCTCAGTGATGATGTCAGGTCCTTGGACAACTTCAGCTGCTAAGCCATGATCAAGAGTTATTCCATCATCGGTAACAACATCAGAAACTAGGACAGCTTCGGGGACTGATACAACAATATGGTCTCCATCAATATGAGCAGTGCCAGCCATTCCAGCCACTATGAAACAATGATGAACGAGGAGAAAAATGTTAAAATTACTGCATTAGCTATTAGTTTATATAAGGAATTGAATAATTGTATAGATAAGTTAAACACAGATGTACAAATCTGTTACCTTTCAACAATCCCCTTTTTGCATTTCACCTGATAAAGACTATCCAAAGCAGCCTGTATTCTTTAAATTAAGAAAAACAAAACATGTCACTTCTTTAAGACATAATGTGGAGTTTGCCCCAAATCTAGGTTTTACAATGCTGATATGTCAAAAACTACAGGCCAGTTTGCAATTTCATCTTTTTTTAAGTTCCAGTTAGAAAACATTTGATTACAGTAGCAATTTGAGCCTTCCCAGAATTCCTGCACGATACTGGAAGTGTGGTAACAATACACGAATTGCTGTTATAATAAAAGGACTGCATGGGTCTTGATAAAAATACTCAATTGCATGCAATATTTATAGCACAATTTCCAACAACTTGCCACGTTGCAAGGAATGGTTAGAAGCAAAAACCTGTTTTTCATTAACAGACTTGACTGGCCAGTCGTATTTGCAGACTACTTTTCTATACATAAAAAAGAATGCACAGAAAATTATTTAACGCGCACACATGAATAGCAGTTTCAAGCTTAATGAATAAAACAATCAAGAAAATGGTTCTTATCAGAATAAAAATAAAAGTTATTTGGCATTGTACTGATAATGTAATTATTGTGGTACACTCTGAGGGATATTAAGTCACGTTAGAATAAAGACATCATCCTTCCCAACACTTGAGGTCATCTCCTGTCATAATGCAGAAATGGAGACCCACAATGAAAAGAGGGGAGATTTCTTGCTGTCCTTTCTCTAAACCTTGAAAATTGCTGAGGTTATTCAGCACTGCCACCAAACAAAAAAGTAGTCACTTAAAAAAATAAAACAACTTAGAAACCAGTTTTTTTTGTATCAGTACAGTCCCAGGGCTGATGTTCTTGACAGAAGACTTCTAAGCACATGTGAACATGCACATTTAGCTAAATCAGTAAACTGCTGTCTAGGTAGTAAGTTATCTGTTGTCACACAAAGACATTATTTCCCACCACATTTACTGAAATACCCTAAAGGAGAACTGGAGACAGCAATCAAGGTAAGCACACAGAAGCTGGGATGTTGTTTACAACGTGTACTGCATGTTATTTACATCTCCTGTACGCTGGAGATGTAACAATCAGTCGAAGTGATTTCAAGCAGAAGCACATGCATTACAAAACCGCTGAACTCCAGATCACATTTTCTGTTTCATCTGGAGCACTCTGAGCCATAAACTTAACTTCTATGTTTTTTCAGAATTACTTCAGTATTTTGGAATAAGCGACTATTTCAAGATCAGCAACCAAAGTATACAAAGACATACTGTACACCACCTTAAATTTTGAATTTTCTCAAGGAAGTCCTGCAAATAGCGTTAGTGTATTATGCAACTCTACATCTTGATATCATTTATAAGCATATAGCAAAAAAACTTGTAAAACAGTCTTGATTTTATTCATTATTTCTAATAGTTAAAATGTTTACCGAAATCCTGCATAATCATAGTGTGAGGCATTTTGGATTCTTGTGTTTGCAATCCCAGACTTCCACCACCTGGATCCATATTCAGCTAAGTTCATTCACAAATAACTGCAATAAAAGCAAAATTAGAATTTATGTTGAACAGTGTTATTGTGTTGATTAGCTTTACTGCATTAATGTGTCACACTGACAAACACAGAAAATTATTTATCCAAAACATCAAGAAAAAAGCATGCAGTACTTCATACAATTCACTTTGCTTTGTTCTTTTGGTTTTGGGGTTTTTTTGACCTAAAATCCTGAAAATGTTTCCATCCATAAGTAGTTCTACAGTAATCAAAAGAATGACATGTGAGTGAAACCAAGTCAGTCAGTAATTCTTGGTCAGTACCTGAACTTCTTTTAAAATTCAAGTATTTGGTTAATTCCTGGCCTAGAACAGTTCTGCTTATATTCTGTAGGTTTTAACTTGAAAGTGCTTTCTAGTTACCTTCAGCATGCAGAGGTACAGACTTCTACACTACTTTATTCCTAGAAGTACTAAGCTCAAGAAGTGCCTAAACCTTCAATTTCCCTACTGCAAGATGCACATTTAAATATTTTTGCAGTTTTATTAGGCTACCTCCATAGGGTAACAACTCAATGAGTGACAGCAGAGATCTCACCTGCAGTACCAGCTATAGCATCAGGCCATAGTACCAAAGCAATATAACAAGTTAGTAAGCAACTCAACCTAGTTACAGGTAACTTCTTATCTAGAAGCATAAACTTTGTCAAGAAGCAGGCTAACTTTGCCTTAAACAAACTGCAGTTGTCTGAAGAAGCGAGAAATACAAGTCCAACATCAACAGCACACACATGCTTTTACTAACTATGTGCCTTAACATAATAACATATATTGGCAACCATGCACGAAGTCACCTTTGCTCTATCTCTGTATATACTCTTTAATTGTCAAGACTGGTGATTATGGATGTGTGGGGCTGAATCGAAGAAAGTTGAGAATTGCATTGGGAGTGCCAATTTTTCAGGTTCTTTCACAATTTTGTATCAGGTATTTCAAAACAAATTTTAATGTGTAAACTTATTTGAACATTATGTTCAATTATAGGTATATTTTGAAAAAGCTGCACAGTGCCCAAATTTAGAAAACAAAAGTGCCAAAGCTTATCTTCCTGTCCAGCAGTGCATATGAACCCTTCTATTTCATTAAAAAAGTCTGAAAAAAGGCCTGGTAGAAAATTTAATCAGTCCTCAGACTTGCATGCACAGTGCAGAACTACCCATTGTAACAGGCAATAGCTAAACTTAAGAAAGGCCAACTTATTTCACCATCTCCATTGCCATGATGTTTACTGAAGAAACGACAGTGCTCAACAGGCTCCTGTGCTGACACCTCTATTTACCATTCCAGTGTTAGAATTGTATTATCCATATTGGTTAACATTTTATTTCAAAACTGTCAGGTTATTCTAGAAATCTTATCTTCCAACACAGTTCTTTCTGTGCTGCCTCATTTCTGCTGCTAGGGAAATGACGCTCCTATGCAGCTATCTGTAACATCCCTCTAACACAACAATGATCCTTTAAAGCTTCAGATAGAACAGGCCCACCAACTCTTTGTAAACTTCACACTGTTATCCTTCATGGCTATATCTTTACCTTGATTTTCTTTCTTTTGTTTTTGACAAGCGCTTTGTTGCTTCAGCTCTTCTAATTCCCCTTAATGCTTAGGGGCTTCTGTTTCCCCATTTCTGTTTTGTCAGACTTGCCTATTTTCCTCAATCTTTTAAAATTATACCAGTTCCTCAAACCTTGCCACACAGCCAGGACAGTTTTATTCTGTTTTACTTGAGATTCTCACTTTCATTAAAATGCAACTCCAATTACATCCAAGTATTTCCACACATGGACAGTAAATGTCGAGCTTCTCACTACACTCAGTTTTACCAAGATTTCCATTTCTGATATCATATCTGTCTTGAGGATGCAGAATCTCTTTCATAAGGTACAGCTACACAAACTTGCTTTCAGAGAAAGAAAAAGCATATAACATTTCTTTGACAGTGTTGCCATAAAATACAAGAGAAAAGGACAAATTACCATTCCTCCATGTTATCTGCATTGCTACTAAGCATTACAGTGTGGGAATTCTGCATTATTTTGCAATTTGTTACAACCCAGAAGACTTTAAAACAAGTTCTCAGTGCAGATGAAGGGACTCCATAAAAGCAGCTACAGGAGTACACAGAGAGTAAGGCTTTCATAGGTGAAAAATCTCTAGCTTAAGAAAATCTCTGTTGTACAAGACTAAAATCTTATACTTTTCTGCACTCTCATATCCAAGAATCAGAAGTAAGTGACAGTATCACACAGAAAATGAGAAGTTTTAGCAGCTGTGGAAAATGAATGCAGAGTAAGAGCTCAAGACAGAACTACCTGGGCCTGGGTAGTACAGGAAGTACAAATGCTTTCAAGAGCAAGTCTCAAAAATATGGCACTTCTACTGTTGTAATAACAACCTTGATTTCGCTCTTCTGGATCTCATAAAACGTTGACCCCTATCCTACCGCAAGAATTTGTTTAAGTTTGTGCATCTAAACAAAAAAGATAAAAACTTCAAGTACTTTGTGGTACAACATATCTGACAACCCTACTGCAATGAGATATACCACAAGAGTTAAAAGCTAACATGGTCAAGCAAGGCCAAGTTGGAGGACTAAATGACTTACCTGCCTGAAATGTCTGATTCAACTCTAAGCCAGAATCAAGAGACCCTGAAATAGCCAAGACCTAATGCAACGCACGCTATCGCACTAATCCAGAAGTAAACTAAACTTTGCAGTAGACATGACATTAATTCATCTTAAAACACAAAGTTCTATCAATAACAGGCACAGGGTCCATGGTAAAAGACCCTAAAAACTGAACAGATGCCAGTTTCTACGTTCACTGCGACCCCTGCAGCTCACCGGCACAGAGAGCGCTGGATCCTTGGTACCGAGAAGGGGATGCCAAGGGCCAGCTGCCCCGCGCCCACCCACGCCATCAGCCGGGCTCTGCCGCGCCAGCCCCAGGCTCGGGCTGCACGTGGGAACTGATGCTCCCGATGTCATCCGAGCCAGGCACAAAGCCACCAAGGGGAGACAATGTGAAAAGTCAATTTTAGTGCTACATTATCTTTGCCTCCTTTTTTTTTCAGTTGTGTTAAATGCCTTCACTTCAGCAGGTGATGCAGAGTTCCTGCTCTGTGCAGGCCAAGATACACTTGCCAGGTAGGTACGATTTTGCCTCTGGGGTTTTAATATGAAAAAATACATAACAGAGTAACAAATAATCTTAAAAAGAAAGAAGAAAAATGTGGAAAACGCAATCCATGCTTACTGCATCTTCACTGTCAACAAAGGAACTGAGCAGAGATTATTCCTCCTTTTATACTTCTGAAATTCTCAAGCGAAGGAAGCAACAAGCAGTCCACAATGACAGCAATTTAAAGAAAAAGTCACCAATCCACCCCAAAAAAGTTTCAACTTAACTGAGAATACAGAAGAACCAAAGAACTTGTATTACCTAGTGCCACTATCATCCTTTCAACACTTTCTCCCCATATGGTTTGCTCAAACCTACTTCTCTCAAATTGTCTTTGAATCTACAATACTAATTCTTGGAGACAACACCCACATAACATTCTTCTTGCTGAGCTACAAGAATTCCCCAATGTAATTTATTGATGGTGCCATAACAGAGCAGTTAGATCCACAGAGCACCCAGTATTATAAAAACACAAGTCAAACATTACCAATAAGAAAAGTAGCCAAGGATTTAACTAACCCAATTCTACTCACACAATCAAATTTCAACGTAGTTTTAGGTTTTAGCTGAAAAAACAGACTCTTTCACCACTGTAAGAACTACAGAACAGCTTCAGAACCTTAATGCAATGCTCTATCACTCCTAAATTATCATCCCAGCTACCTGAAACTCTCACAGTAGCTAACAAATACTTGCTATTACAAAATAAGATACAGCCCTAGAACATAAATGGCTAATATAGCAATTTCAGAATTAATGCAATACTCTATAATTTCCTGACCACAGCCTTTACACTCAAATAATCAGTTTTTTAAAAAATGCAAATAGATTAAAAAAATTATCTTTAATTATATCAATCTGAGATTACAAGAAGAATATGCTAGGCTTTTCTTCCTTCTCAATAAGCAATTTATTTTCAGATTACATAATTAGATGCCCAAATATATTACATACTGTGCTACATAAAAAATTCAATACAAAGTAAGACTATAGTTTTAATTTAAATTAAATTTTCTGCAAGAAAAACAAATTATCACTAAAAGGAGTATCTCGCCAGCAGCTAGCATGACTGTAAAAATTACCAAAGTTATGGGATGGCACCTTCTGTGCACATAGTACTGCAAGTAACTTCAACTTCCACCAAAACCAGAGATGGATGACGACACACTAGCAATAAAATGCTGAAGCTGTACCTCAGTTGATGCAGCTAGTATCCAACCATTATTTAAGTATATTTTTCTAAACCCTCAATGAAGACAAAGGACAAAGTTGTACCAACTACGCAAACACCGATTTCCTTTTTTTTATATCTACTTTAGGGTCTTAAAGGAATGCAGTGACAGAAGGAAAACTCCTTACTGCTAGTGCTCTAACAATTAACAACAGATAAGGCCCACAGTTCTACAACTGGATATTTTTGCTCATAGATTTCAGTAGCGCAGATGATTTAGTTTTGCACACTATATATGCATGCAAATCTTATTGGAAACAGCAAAAAAATGTAGTACAGTGATTAACTGTGGTTCTTCACAGCTTCCTTCTGTAGTACAGCATGTTATATACTAATCATAGAAGTAGTCCAAACATATGTTTCAGAAAAGGACAAAGAAATAAGGCAGAAAACCACAATTCTGTATATTGGCATAATCCTAAACTTACCCATATTCCTCTTGCCTCAAACTTTTAAGATCTCAAGTTTTTCCTCTCAACTCCCCTTCTCCTCTCTGTACTTAGAAAAAAATACTGTGAAAATGCTTCACTAGCATCAGCCAATAAAATTTTATCACTTTACAACATTCCACTAATATGTTCATTTTTTTGTTGTTGTTTTTGTTTTGTTTTTTTTTTTTTTTTTTAAATTATATTATGTTGTCTTGCACCAGGAAGGAGTATATCACCATCAGATCCCAAAATGAAGAATTTCATAAAACCTAAACTGAGACTCCCAGTGCAGTGTCTCAGGGCTAAATTTTTAAAAGATGTTTGTATCTGATATTGTTTTGCTTTTTGGAAAATTATAGTTCACTAACTAGCTTCAGGAGAAGGTAGGTTTTAACCTACTTCAGTCCTTCATGCCAAAGCTCCTCCTCAGACAGGGCTCAAGCTGAGACCAGGCAATTAATTTAGGAGTAAAAAAAAAGGGACATATGACCTCTTTGTCTACAGGCAAGTACAATATTGCAAATTAGTATTGTAAATGGCATTTTTAAAATCAAAGATAATGGTTATGTGTTTGGGACTACCTAAGAACATATAATAGCAACACTCAATTGAAAAACTACTAAAGACCCAGTCCCTTAAAAACACTGCTCTTAGTATACATGTTGATTTAATATTGGTTTATTCTTCCCATAAAAATATAGTAAAATAACCGTTAATATTTTGATTTTATTTGAGAAAACTTTCAGAAAACACCCTGAATTGTGACATCTTCAGTAAAGTATTTTAAGGAGGGAAGAAAAAAGAATGCCTCAGCACTTCTACCTTTCCCAGGAAAAAAAGGGTGTCATTCTTGTACCCAGAGGTACAATGAAGCTCCCAATCAATATGCCAGCTTCCAGGCATTGTTGCCATATTTAAAATTTTTATAATGTACAAAGTATTTCTACAAAATGCCAATCACAACTTAATAAATCCACACAGAGTACATATTTAATACATTTTATTATCTCCTAAAAAGTGTGGTCTTGCAAATGCTAAGCACCTCCCCAATTTACATGTACAATTATTCCCAGTATCTTCAGGAGATATGTTTTCATGTAAAGCCTATTTGCATGGTCAGCCCGTAAGCACTCTTTTTAAAATAGTGAATTTATTCTGAATAATATTTAAGCCTTGTTCACATATAATACAGTAAAACACATCATACTTTCTCAGGCATTTCAGATTATTTGTAACCCACATATGACATTCTGATTAAATCAAAAGGACCAAGCTCACATATAGACCAATGTAACACAATAAAAAAACGTGCATGTAGCTGAAAAATGCAAACTAGGTGCCTTCTAATTATCTTATCTCTTAACATTCACGTTCAAGAAGAATACAAGAGAATTATCTTCCCCTAAAGACACTTCAGGGTTTGGGTTTTTTTTTTTTGTTTTTTTTTTTTTTTTTCCCCTAATTTTTAATGCAGCAACCAATAGAAATGCAACAGTAAACATCCTGCTTAATGCAGAAATCTTCAGAAGAACCCAATTCATAAAATAACGTGCAGGTTAACACAAGCCCTTTACAGAAAAAAAGACTGGGCATGAAAAATGAACACATCCATTTTAAACTCCTTTATTGTGTTCACCTATAAAGCTTCCATAAAAACTTACGCTCTAAATCCATTTCAAATGACAAAGACAAAAACCACCGAATGAGATTTTGCCTTACTGCCTGAAACGCGCTGAAGGCTCTTAATTAACGTAAGAAAAGACTCTGCATACACATGTTACATCCACAGCGGTCACAAAACTCCCCGGAATAAAACCGGCAGGCTGAGAAGGGCGACAGCCCCGCCGAGGCGCTGCAGAGCCGGGGCTGCCCGCGGCTCCCGCCCCGCCGCCCGACACGGGGCGCGCCGGCGGCGGGGCGGGCGGCCGGGGCACGGCGGCGGGGCGGCGGGGCTGCGCGGCCGCGGAGCTCAGCGCAGCTCTCGCGCGTGCTCGAGGAGCGGGCGCGCCGCCGGGCGGCGGGAGCGCGGCGGTGACGGGGCCGGGCGGGCGGCCCGGCGCGAGGCCCGCACCCGCGGACCGCCCGGCTCCACCGTGAAGCGGCCGGCGGCGGCCCCGAGCGCCCCGGCCCCGGGTTGGGGGAGAAGCGGCCGGCGGCCCCGCCGCGGCGCCGGAGACGGTGGCCGAGGGAAGAACGGGAGCGCGGCTGCAAAGGAGCCCGCGGAGGGCGCGGGGCGGCGGCGGGCCGCCGGCCGCCACAGCGGCGCAGGGAAGGAGCGGCCGCAGCCCTCGGCCTCCGCTCGGCTGCGCGCCCCGGGCCGCTGCTGGGCTCCTGCCCCGCGGCACGGGAGCCGGGTGTTGCGGCGGCGCGGGGAGAAACCCCGACCCGGCGGCGCGACATCCCGCGGAGCCGCCGCCTTCTCCCGCCCCGCCGGCCGACATCTTGTTTTCCGCCATTTTCTATCCGCCCGACAGAGGCCCCTCAGCCGCAGGGCCCGCCGGCGACGCTCGCCCGCGCCAGCCCGCCGCGGCAGCTCCCGCCGGCGGCCGAGTCTGGCCCACACGCCGAGGGGCGGCCGTGGCTGGGCCCGCCGGCGGCCGTAGCGGCGCTGTCAGGCCTCGTGCGCGGCCTGCAGTGAGGCCTAGCCGCCGCCATTGTCCCCGTTCCCCGCCCCCCCCCCTCCCCCCGCCGCTCCGACGCCTCTGCTCACCTGTGCGGGTCCCCGCGCCGGGCGGCCGCGCCGCGGGCTGGGGCCCGGAGGGGTGTTGGGGGAGGGGGGGGGGGGGAAAGGAGGCCGGGCCGCAGGAGCTCCGCCGCCGCCGCCGCGGCCTGGCCTTCGGGGCCGCCGGGGCCGGGCCTGCACCAATCACAGGCTGGGCCGGGCGGCGGGGCGCGAGCGCGCGCGGCCTGCTCCGCTCCCCTCCCCCCCCCACCCCCCCCCACCCCGCCGGCCTCGCGGCGGCCGCCGCACGTCACCGCGCGCCCCCCGCGCTCGAGCAGGCGCACCCGCCGCGCCGAGGCCGCTGCCCTCACTCTGCCCGCGCCGCCGCGCGCGCCTGGGCGCGGCGGCGGACGGGGGGAGTAGCGGGGGGGGGGGGGGGGGGGAGGGGGCCGACTCCCCCTCACCCCCCCCACCGGCGCAGCGGCGCCGTTAGCGCGAGAGGTGCAGCCCCGCCGCTGTACGCTGCGCGGGGGGATCGCGGTGCGAGCGTCGGGTGCTCGCCGGGAAATAATAAAAGAAACGGCGGCTCCCTCCCCCCCGCCCCCCCCCAGGTGAGGCGTCACCGTGAGGGCGGCTGCTCTCCCGCCGCAGGGACGCGCGGGCTGGGGCACCGTCAGCATCAGCCCTCGCCCACCGCCGCCCCCCCGGCAGCGCGGAAAGGGGCGGCGGGGGGGCGGCCCGCGGTTGGCTGCGGAGGGAACCCTGCCGTAGCGCCGCGCGTGGGCACGGGGCCTTTCCGCGGGCGGCGGGAAGCACTAAGTGCCCGGCCGTGACTGGTACCGCGCGGGCCGGGTCCCGGGCGGAGAGCGCCGGCTGGAACAAGGCCAGGCCCAGCCCTGGTCCTGTGTGGAACTTCAAGTACTTCTACACCTATACAGACATTTGGGAGAGACTGCAAAAGCACGTGTGAATGGAGAAGGTTTCAGATTCGGGTACTGGAAATCCCAGATGAACTGGTACTGCGTCACTGTCCTCCCATCCACCTTTAGTTTCAGAAGAAAGATGAAAGCGCCTTGGTTTGGCAGCTGTGGCTGTCTTCATTATTGTACAGTACTATGACATTAAAGACAGGAGCTTTGGTATTTAAAATACATTCTTTCCAGTATTACTAGCCTCAAGAATACAATTAACCAAAGAAAACCCCACCACTGATAGTAAATTGGAAGAAACTGCTGGCATAATGCACAGTATTTTCTTCAGTTTTTTAATAATTTTGGGTATGTCTATGTGAATAACACCATCTCTACTAAAGTAGTTCTCTTAATAAAACATAGGCCTAGCAAAAAAAAAAAAAAAAACCAACAAACAAATCTTTAAAGAATTAGCATGACTATACCTTAATAGCCACATCAGTAAAATTGTTCAATACCTAAAGATGGCATTCACTTACAAGTGTCAATACGCAAAAACTTGGGCTAGGGTAGCCTGTGAGGCTTGTTCTCTGATTTAACTAAATGGGATATAGCTGTTAATTTTTCTAAACCCACTTGAGACTAAGAGTATTTTAGCATATGCACACCTCTGGTTTAAAAATGGACTTGTTAAATGGGTGCGCCAACTGTGTTGAATAGATTGTGGTAGTACTGTAATGGTTGAATTTCTAACACCATTAGGGAAACAGGAGGAACTGTTTTTTCTGCTTGAAACACAGATAACTCATTGAAAAGAATCTTTGTGTTAGAAAGGCTTTGCCCTTACAGTTACATTTGAAATTAATTTTGTTCGTGTACAGTCGAATTCAGCTGCCTATATGTCTAATAGAATGTTCAAAACAGATATGGCAGATAGGACAACCTACACAAGAGTTGCCCTCTTCTAAAACAGCAGCGGAACATCAGATGGAATGCCACAGAGTCAAAAATGGCACCAAGCACCTATGTTTATGTACTGAAATCACACAAGTAACTTATTTTGCACTACACAACTACAATTTGCAGTTAAATACAGAGTAACAGGGTTTTTTCTTCTGGAATTCTTACAAGATTCTTGCTCCTGCACTTTCATCTCCTTAGCACAGAACCTGGAAGCCTCTCCTATGTTTGACCCTCCTCCCCTTTTTTTAATTTTAAGGGGTAAAAAGTAGAATAGTGGGGTAAAGCTGTCCCTACTGTGCCACACACCAAAGTAAATACAGTACTAGGAACATTCTAATAGGTTCTTCCAGCTCTAGCAAAAGGATAGACATTCTAATGAGAAAATAATTTTGAAGTGATCAACACAATTAAGGAATGAGAGAAAAAAATACCTGAAAAAGATAATCACAAAACTGAGTACCTGGGGAAATGGTGAGAGAGGATCTCACAAGGTGATACAATCAGAAAAGCAGAACTACAGAGAGATTAATTATCCCTTTCTTCAGTGAAATCCCATCTGTGCTGGATTCTGTCTTCTGGAGTAATATCAAGGGAAACCTCAAAGGCAAAATGAGCATAGAACAGCCACAAGCAGCAACAAGGCTGTTGCCAACAGTGTGACACAACATTCAACATCAGACCCAACATGCAAATTTGCAGAGCGAGGTAGCAATTACAAGGAAAATAAATCCAAAGCACTGGTCAGAAGCACAGAACAAAAAACCCCACCAACACACCAAGATCACAGGAATCCAAATATCCAAAAGTGCAGCAATGAATCACAAAGAGGGCACAAAAGCCAAAACACCACTCTGGAGAAAAATTTAAACTGCTTACACTTGACAGATAAGTAGCATCATAACCACGATCCCTAGCAAATGACCAGAATTGCTCCTTACCCTTCAGTTCAGAACACAAAGATTTAAAAGGATCACAGAGCTGCTCCGCTCTCCAGGTAAGAGGAAAACAACCAAAGCACAATGCTTGGAAGATGGCATATTCAAAAAGGTATTCCTTAATATTGTTATTGTTGTTAGAAGTGACACCAGAGTATTTCAAGCAGGTTCTTTGGAGTTTTATTTCAGATACACCTGCCTGATGTTAGTACTGATGACCTGACCATGAGTGCTTAAGTATACCCGGAGCAGTGCCTACCGGTGTGGCTGATGTCCAGCAACTCTTGATCTGCCTGAGACTAAAGAGGAGACAGCAAAAGTCTGATGATGAAAGCTTCATTCTCTGTGAAACTTTATTATTTCAATTTAAACAGCATGAGTGCATACCTTCCAGACAGCTCTGCTCTTGTCAGCACCATGTGTATTTGACAGGACTGCCTTATCTCTTTCTCCTATTCCTTTTCAAAGGAGTGGTGGAATATCAAATTGAACACTTTCAAATTCTGAGATCACTTTCAGGGTGGTAAACAGAGCTAGAGGTCAACAACCACTAGACTTTGTTAAATTATGGCACTACTGGAGTCTAAGTGACAGAAAAAAAGCAATTCACTGGCAAAGTTCACTGACACATTAGGAGCTGACTTTCTGGGGTCAGAATAGTTTAAACTGATAGTCTAGGATCCAAACGATGTGCTAACACCATTTCTGTGTGTTTCTGGAGATAGAGAACTGTAAACTGTAAAATCGGGTATTCACAAAAAGTTGTCATCAATTACACAGTAAACAAATCAGATACTAATATCATGTTTTGTTCTATAATTATCTTCTATACCTTTTCTTTGCAATAGCCATAACTATTAGAAAGCACTAAAAGGTATTTCCTCTATATCCCAGCCCACAAGGTCTTACTGATCTCTCAGCATTTGTATCAGCCATTGGTCACGTAGCATTCCAAGACACTTCAGATGCATGAAGCACTGGTACTTAGTATTTCTGTAAAGAGATTAGAATTAAATCAGTGGCATGACATACACTCCCCAGTATGCTTGCTATTGAAATAATCTGTATCTAATTGAACTACATTTATACATTTCTTTTATTGGTATCTGAATGTCTGTGCTTCTTCTGAACGTGTACTCACCAACAGCTTTGGGAGATGATTTTTATGTACATAACAACATATTAAGACTTAATGCACACAAACTGAAATAGGCTTTGAAATATTTAAAAATATTTCAGCAGGGCCAGCTAGAAAGCAGCAACAACAGAACATTTGGTTGCTACTGATGTGTTTTTTTAAAAAAACAAAGGAAGCTTCTGTGGCGTAAAAAGGAGGGCCAAAGAAATCACAGACAGACAGTTGTTACATGAGAGTTAGCACTCTTATATTACCATTACAGAAGTTTTCAGCATAGCTGGAAACTAATAGCTTGATCTTTCACAGTATTCCAGTGAAATCACAAGCCATGCTGGCGTGAAAAAGTGGTATTGGTGAAATAGGCACAGAGCTTTTAGGCATTTATTTTTTCATGTCAGCCATATAAATTCCCTTCACTGTACAGTGAGTTAGAACATAGAATTCCAGTAATTCCTCTGGCAGAGCTGCAGGGGTGTCTCTATATTGATAGCCGTGTCTGTTCTTAAGGGGCTGTCAGGCAGTTGAAAATCCCGTTTATCTGAGTTGTAGTATCTAAGTGTAAATGACTCAGAAAATTATTAAAACCCTGGAAAATTTATCCAGTCTAGAAAGGAATTAGCAGGTATGTAATACTACTGAAGAAAACACCTGTATAATAAAAAGGTGGGCTTAGGCTTTTTTTTTTAGTTCACATTTTTACTTTGTGACATAAATACTACCAATATGAATTATGCTCATTTATACTCAATACCAAGACAGAAGATTATATAATATATATGGACAGGTATGTTATTAATATGTACCTGATACTGTCTCCCCTCTGCATAACCTGCATAAGGCAATTATTGCTTGGATAGCCAAATCTCTCATATTGAGCTCACTGGTTAGAAAAAAGGTCTCTTGCTAGATCTGGTCTTCTTAATGGCTGAGGGTGCATGGGACCATGCAAAAGAGAAAAAAGAGATTATTAAAAATAAACATAATAGTATACTGAAAATTACATAAAGTGTTAAACTGAAATATAAAAATAAAGCTCACTACTGCATGCATGGCGTTGAGGCAGTAACATTAAGACATCTAAGTGTTCTGTCTTTTAAGCTCCTTTCACTGTCAAACCCTCATCCTACAAACACAAATAAAAGTGTATTTAAAGACGTAACATATTCTTTGAGCTTTTTTTATTTTCCCCTTACTGTTACACTGAACAGTGTCATAGCACCTAATTTTCTATGGACTGCAATATTGGAAAGCTCCAGACTCTTCCTGCAGCAGAACCCTGCTGCTTGTGAGGACAACGTTCTGCTATCATTTAGTTGCCTCACAGTTAATAAGTTCTCCGCAAAAGTTGTGGCCAGGAGCCGCAACAGTTGGCTGGTGTTAGTGAGGAGGATTAAAGTAACAAAGCACAACTGAGGAAACTGGGTTTCTAAAAAGTAATAAAAATTACCAAATCTGTAATTATTAGAGGAAAACTATACAAGCCTTTGGATAAATCAGTATTTTGGGATTTAGCTTCAGAAACAGAAGAAACACACTGACTACTTCTTTTCAGTGATCGTTAGGAAAACAGACTAAGTCTTAGCAAGCTGATAAACTTAGTCCTGTGTGCTAATTCACATTTAGTAATAATGTACAAAATAGTCCTAGGATTCTTGCAGCAATGCTGTTAAAATTTGCAAGGTAGGGGAGAATAAAGAAAAAATTCCGAACAACCACCTCTTTCTATCAAAGACTCAAGCCACAAAATGTATGTGAATAAACCAGTCAAAAGCTTAGCCAACCATTTACTGGATCTTTGTCAGTTGCTGTGCCACTGGCATAGCTACAAAGTAATTACTAAATCTCCAGCGTATAAAGTGAAAATGAGCAAAAAAAGACAGAAAAACAGCAGCATACCTGTAATTCTCTAATTGACTTGGGGTTGGGACATCATCAAAATCTTGTCTTCGTTGCACAGTTTTTGGAATTTGTCCAACTCAGTCATCCTATATGTAGGGGATCAGGTGGTTACACAGGGCAAAATGACAACAAATTACAAAACCAGCTCACCATGTACATTATGCCTCCAGTTGTCTTTGATGTAAAAAAAAATTGTGTAAACTGATTTATCAGTTACAAAAGATACTGTTCATTATAGACACGTTTTCAAATGTATACATTCAGTTTGTCTAAAAGACTCAGTAGAAGAGAAGTCTTTACATAGTTGGATAATGCAGAAAACATAC